TTTCTAGTTACAAGTACTTTATAATCGTAGTTCTTAAAGAGGAAGGATTTTATTGTTTTCTCGTTCATTAAAGCCATAAACAATAAATTGATTTTAATAGTTTAATGAGTTTTTGACTTAGTGTGACATTATAAGTTTTAATTGCATTAGAACTGGCCGTGCGCTTCGCATCTAATTAAAATGCAACCAGCGCTGCTGGAAAAAGCCGCACAATTTGTTGGGATATAAATTCAAATAAGTGTCGAAGCCGCACCCCAGCCGTTGGCATCGAAACTTTTCCAATAAACGCAGCTTATCGGGCTGTCGGACTTGGTTCAGGCCGGGCTAAGACAAATGCTCGGCGCATGGCATAAACAAGTGAATGCAAAACGGATGGAAGATGGGAATGGTATTGCAGTTAACGGATATTGCTCTCCGAAATCACGAAATTCAAATGGAATGACTTTGCCATTATTTACCACCAGCAAATTAAGTATACGCAGCGTGGCCACAAACCAAGTTGCCCAATGATTGCAGTGCAGTTAAATTAACTGTTAACTTTGTGGCTCTTTGATTTTTCCTCCGAATTGCATAACATAAACTGTATCAACTGAGAGCCAGCATTTTTCCAAGTGCCATTTGTTACCGAATATTTGCTATTTGTTTTGGCATTTTTTGTGTATTTATGACCATGTTTGGTAAGCTAAAAACAAATGGTCATAAATCAAGAGTCATATTCCGGCCACTGACAATGTTCCGAGCTTCTGAATAAAAACTATCACAAAAAAAAGAAGACAACATTTTAGAGGGGGCCGAACAAATATATAAACAATTTAATTAAAGCACTTCAACTGCATTTTAAAGTCGCATTGGCTTAGAGTTCACTCACATAACGTATACGCCACGTATGGCCATGCAAAAGGAGAATGAGAGAGACAGCGCGTGTGGGATTTTAATTACAGACAGTCGCGCCATTAAAAGCTTTTATGGCACTTCTTTACCAACAAATTTACTGCCACAACGACGAGCCAGTATAAATTTTAAGCACTTTTTCACAAAAAGGATCATTCAGATACGAGTTAGTAGTGGCATCAGGCGATGCTCAGGCCCCTAGTATGCATACAAACATAAATCAGTTAACTACGGTCAAGAGATTTTGTAAATAACTACTAAAATACCAAAAACGTTGAACAATTTTCAGAATATTTACAATAGGAGACTTTCCTCGTATTTTAAACTTTCAACAGGATTGCAATGATTTTTTTTTATACTTCGGTTACAAATCTAAGGTCAAAGCTAGACAAACAGCTTAAATGTCGACTGTTTTATGCAGCTAACGACAAAAATTAACAAACTCAAGTTCAATTTTGTGTTAGCAAAAAACGAGTTCATATCCTACCATCGTTTCTTTACTCCATTTAATCGTTTTTAAGCTTTAATTTCGTTTAATATTACCAATATTTCTCGATTTGCATAGTCAATTAAGTGTTGTAATTTCCCCCTGAAGGAGGAGGGAGCTATGGAAACTGTGTGCAGATATTCTCCAACCGGGTCTTTAAGTGGCACTTTAATTTTAACGAGCGCTTAATGTGCCTTTAATTACGAAGGCCGCTTGCTCCACGCCTTTGGGTTGATTGAATGTTTGCCGTGGAAATTGAGATTAATGGCTGGGGCGGAGGAACCGGACCGGAAAGGCAGCCTCTATTCATATAACATAAACGAGGGTATGTCCTGCCTTTCGAGGACCTTCATTTTTGTCTTTTATTTTGCTCCAAGGTCTGCGAGTCCATTCATTCAAGTGGGTTGTTTCTTGTCTCACCGCTGCAATATTAATCATGCCGAATACCCAACCGGGGTTGGTGAAAATTCTAGTTGATTTCCCTCAGTGCCATTCAGGAGACAGCCAATTCAATTAGCAGCTAATAAAGTAATTTCGCCAGGTCGCCAATTAATTTACTTTATTCCTAAGCCATTGCAGTACGCTTCAACAGGTTTTGCGGTTTGCCGTCCCGGCAACAAATTGGTAAAAATATAACATACTACTGCAATTTCAGATGCCAGATAGCGAAAGTAAACACTTAAACGTGAGAATGTCCCATCCCATTCCCCCAACTTTTTTGTTTTGTCTTCTAAGTATTTTATGGTGTTTCGTGAGATGGGCAATTATTTTTTATTGACCAGCATATGAGTGCATATGAATGGTAATCACGATCTCAATTATTTAGGCTCCTGCTTTGGCTCTCCGTTCGTCTAGGGCACATAAATGTTTATGCCACAAATATTATATTTTTATTATAGAAAAGTACACAAATTAGTTTAACAGCTTTTAATAAATCTAAAATTTAAATCGATTGTGACAAAGCCTTTAACAAAGCTCTTTGTATAAATTCAAGACGTTAAATTTAAAGTTGCCTTTATTTTGATTACAAATGACTCGCTTTCGCTCCTTTGCTGTTGAAAGAGGCAAATAAGTTTGCCTGGCCCTGGGCCAACTATTCAGGCACCGTGAAAATCGTGAAATATTTCTTGTAAAATTTAAATATCTTTTTTTTAATATTAATATGGCTTTTTGTAAGGTTTTGTGATTTTTATAAAAAAATATATATCTTTAAAAACCACAAAATACAGTTTGAAAGAGCAAGTAAGTCTTCTTTTTGTCAACTGTATTTTTTTTGCGAGTGAGTGTTGCGGCGTGGGCAAACTTTATGGCACACAGGGGCATAGACAAAGGCCAAATGAGATGGCTTGCATTGGTAACTGACTCCTGTCGGATGGCCAATTTGGACGCCTGCAGCTGTTACAGTTCCAGAAGTTGGCCGTCTGCTTCTGATTCGGCTCGATGTTCATTATCTTGTCTCAATTGGACCTCGTACAATGCATTAATAGTTGGTCGGCCCAGACAAGTCAATTGTGTGCGACCTTGGCGTGTTGCTGCTAAATGGTTCTTAAAGATTCCGGCAAACTGATATTTAACCTTAAATCGTTGCTGACCCGGCCAATTTACGACTGAAATCAAATCGAAATTCTCGCATATAAAGATAAATCGTTGTCATGGCGTTAGCAGATTTTTGGGGGGCGCAACTTGAAATGCCATGGCTATTGCAAAATATTGTCATTTATTGTGCGAATGTTGGCGATAACTCAGCGATGGCGAATCGAAATTTATGAAGTCCCATAGGGCCGCCTCTATGGCATTTCGTCATCATTTTTGGTATTGGATACGGGTCATTTGAGTGATTCTGATTGACTTTCGAGAGAGCCAGCCTAATCGATTACATAGACTGATCAATTCCACTCGTAAACAATTTCGGAAAGTGTCCTGTTTACGTCAGATCTTGTCAATAAAAACAGTGTTTGTAATGTCCTTCCGCTGGCGACATAGCATAAACACTTTCGTCCCTATATCGAATGGGTCATATAAAATCCATCTATAAAATGACACAGATACGATATTAAACAAACACTAGCTCGTTGTTAGTTGTTTCCGGTTCCGCAATTTCATTGGCCGCCCAGCCAGAAAGTATGCACCAAAATGTTTCCCTCGTGTCGGATAATAAACACATAAATATGGACAGAGTTTTCTCTTCAAGGCCAAAATCAGGCAATCAACGGATTTAGTTACAATCGAAGCCAATCATGTACGCGTGCCGAGAAACAAACCATAAAAATCCACATAAAATATAATTGAAAGACTTGTGAGTTCCCCTTTGAATTGCTTTTGTCTGCGGTGTCCTTTAGGCCGTTGCGATTTTAGGCAAAGATATTCCTTTGAATTGTGATTTTTATTAGGAATTTGGCAAAAAGAATTTCGAAAGTTTTTAGTTTTTGGTCAGAAAATATATCTAACGGGGAGTGAGGATATTTTGTGCCTTTTACAAATATGTATTTTATTAAGAATGTTATTATGTCAAATTTGTTGGCCTCGACCAAAAAAATAGAAAATTATTTAACCAACTTTACTTTAGCAAGAAAGCATTTTGCTTATTTTCCAGAAATTCTTTAATTAATGCAATAACAAAATTTGATTTTATTTATGACGGGTTGTCAGTGCTGAGAGCGTTAAGCCATGGACACAACGCGTTGTGCAACATGCAACCGATGAGGTTGATGGTGATGAACACCATAAGCATGGCAACCACTAAGATGGTCATCAGGAAAGAGAAGTGCATATTTATTTGGTTGCTATATTGCTAGGTCGCCTTGCAGAACGATTCCCAAATTATATGTAGCCCACACTGGGGGAATTTTGCTATTATTTGTGGTTGCTTTCAAATGCTTGCAGTCTGATGAAGCGAGTTTGTACAATGATAGATAACCATTAACTAATTATGCCTTAGGGTTTTATTCAATAATATTTGCCTAATAGCCTGAAAAGTTTGTGTTTTATTATAGATTACTTCATAGGCTTTTAAACAAATAAGTGTAAAACGTGTGAGCCATTGTGCTTGCACCTGCCTTTAGCTGATCCGAGCAGTAAGTTTACATAATGACTCATTTCTAACAGATTGACATTTAAAAGCTTTAATTTTTGGTAACCTGTAATCGCATAAAAACTTTACAAATTAAAGGAGTAAGAAGAGTGAACTGTTTGACTCCATACTGTCAGCAGCTAGTAAAGCGAAATGGTCAGAAATGGTTCAGCTTTCGATTCGTTTTCAGCATGATCACCTTTTGCAAATAGTCGCACGTGTAACTAGAGGTATTTGAGAATAATAGGGAAAGAAAATACGAGCTTGATCAATATATGTTTAACGCTTTAGAAGAAGGCATGCTTTATAAATAAGTCTAGATAAGTCTGAATATACTCAAATAACGAAACAGGTGCTCTCTTACACATTGTATTTTAAATTGGCTGATTTTCCGATAATATTTAAAGTAAATATTTAGAAGCTAACTTACATGTTCAATAGCAGAAGCATCTAAGCAAATTTGCTGTCTGTGCAAACTATTGGACTATTTCTTTTTAGTGATATATACGTCAACATGTATCACGTATAAATAGCAATTCGATCTGATGGAAAGGCAGTTCTGGTTTCAACGGAGTAAAACACCATTTAAATCACAATGCAGTCTTCCTTCTTCCTAATGGCCATCTTGGTGGTTGCCATGCTCATGTTGTTCAGCGCTCCGGCAACTGAGGCCACCTTCCTTCTCATCGCTTGCATGCTACAGTCACCGCTTTGCCCATGGGTCACTTCAGCCACCACTGCTACCACAGGATAAACCTTTACAGAGCTCTTCAAAAATGTATTGGAAATAAAAATTTTGTGTTGCATTACATAATAGCATTTGGTTGGAGGTGGGGGGTCACAGTTAGTCTAGGCCAGGATATCGGCTGTTTTTGAGCTTTTCACTTTTATAAAAGGATATGGAATGAAAAACTGAATCAAAGTAAATTTTTTGACTTGTATTTTCTTCAAAAATATCATAAGCATTCACAATTCTTCGTTCACATTTGAAATGCAATTGCTGCACTAGTTATCTAAGACTATGTTCAATTCCATTGGTAGTTTTTACATTATTGATATTTTACAGGGTTCAAATGGCCGAGTTGGCGACTCATTGAATGCGATTGGTGACGCTGGACTGTTGGGCGTAGTTGGCCAACCATTCGCCCACCTGGGCCTGGTTAACCGCTAGCCACTTGATGTTGGCCTTCACTGTTTCCAATGCCTGTTGACGGGCCGTAGTTCCGGCTCCAGCATCGGGATATTTGGCAAAGAACTGTTGCATCTCTTCCAGTTTTGTTTCCGTGGAGAACCGGGCTGTAATGGTGGGAATCAATCTACCCAAAGTGCGCTCATTGATGCCGAAACGCTCAACCAGCTTTTCCCAGTTCTCACGCACGTAGTCCCACACCAGGCTCTGACCCACGGGATTGGTTGAGATGTATCCTAGCAGGGTGAAGTAGTCCTGCCGGCGCACCTTGGTCTCGTCCCAGGCCCAGTTGATGTATCGCTGAAGTATCCACGGCACTTGTACGGCGCACAAGGTTTGCATCAGCTTCGCCTTCTCCTGGGCATCGCTCTCCTCTAGGTACAATTTCCATACTTGATCCCAGGCATTCTCTGTGTTCACCTTCTGCAGACCATAGTAGTAGACCACGTCACGAATATCTGGATTTGGACGAGTCTCCGGACTAGCCAGCCATTGGTTGAATAGAGTAACAGCCTGCTGCAAAGAGCTCTCGTGTCCCAAGCTGCAGGCTGAACTCAGCACCTTGATGCGAAGGCGGCTGTAAAATGAAAATACAAATTAATTAAGTTTTAAGGAAATGTTGAAATCGATATATCAAGGCGCCTTCTTACTTTTCCAGGTGATCAGTGCCCACGGTAAAGGTTACACTCTCCACAATTGGCGTAAGCAGTTTCAGTGCGTAGGTGGTGAAGTTGCTATACAAATCCGTGTAGTATACACGATTCCTTAACGTAGCCAGGGAGGAGGTACCTACACTCCAGGGCACGTAATCCTTCTCGCTTTCCAGGTAAGTGCTCAATTCCAAAGCCACGGAGTAGCTCAGCTGTCCGGCAGCGGCCAGGGTATTGGCATCGTTCAGCAAGTGAGCGCGATCGGCGGTACTGAAGGTTGTCCGGTCGTTCTTCAGAGCAGTAGTAAGTTCTGCCCACTGCTCGGCAGCGTAGTTAACACGGTAGTAGCCCACCTGATCCGTGTTAATCTTGAACCAACTGGCAGTTCCAGCGAGTTCAAAAGTGGCTTCATTGTCGTTGTGGTTGAAGATAAAGGACTGGACTTCGCTGCTGACGCTGCTGGTGTAGGTGATGGGAATTGACCAACGGTAGCTGTTGAAAAATGGATCGTTAGAGTAATGATGATGATAAGCCATCTTAAAAATGACAATTTTTAATTGATAGTTTCCTTAACCGACTTACTTAAACGATGATGCTTCAGCTTCAGCTGCGTAGTCATCTTCGTTGGCAAGGAATCGCTTCTGAGTGAGCTTGACAGTGTTACCAGTTTTCTCTACCTCCACAACAGGAAGACCCATTTGCTCCGTCCAGGTCTGCATAATCAGTCTGCGGGTTAGAAAAAAAGTTGTAAGTTTTAAAAATAAATAATTTTATCTAGATAATTATACTTACTTCACATCAAAGTCGAGGCCCTCCTCCTCCTCGACGGCAGTGAGGTAATCTTCAGTGGTGGCTGTGCTGTAGATATGGCGGACCAGATAGCGTGTGGTGGCGTTTCTCAGCTTCTCTTCACTGACTAGATTTTCCAGCATGCGAACCAAGGCAGCCCCTTTAGAATACGTTATCGTATCAAAATACTCCGTGATCTCGGCAGGACTCTCAATGGACTTGACAATTGGATGGGAGGCCAAAGTAGCATCAATGGTCAGCACTGGATGCAGTTCCTCAATAACAAACTGATTGTCCATATCCCATTCCGGATGCATTTGTTTCACTCCCTTGTACTCAATGAATGAGGCGAATCCCTCATTCAACCACAGATCGCTCCACCAGTTCATAGTCACCAGATTGCCGAACCACTGATGCGCCAGCTCATGCGCCACCACGACGGCCACACGTTGCTTATTCACGCTGGAACTAGTGGCGTCATCGTAGAGAAGGGCAGTCTCCCTGAAGGTGACCAAACCCCAATTCTCCATTGCTCCAGATACAAAATCGGGTATAGCAACCATATCCAATTTTGGCAGAACATACGAAACGTTGAAGTAGTCGATGTAGTAGGCAGTTACTCCAGCTCCAGTGTCCAAGGCATACTGAGTTTTCTCCACTTGCGCTGGCGGTGCAAAGACCCTAAGTGCGATGCTGGTTCCCTCCACGGTAGTTTCTTTGAACGCAAAATCAGACACCACAAAGGCGGCAAGGTAAGTGCTCATGGGTACAGTCTCCGCGAATGTCACCTCAGTCAGATCTCCATCGATGACTTCGCTGGCAACAGGCATGTTAGACAAGACATGGTATTCATCACCACTGGGACGAGCCACTGTGATGGTGAACTGGGCCTTCAGAGCCGGTTCATCAAAGCAGGGGAAGGCTTGGCGGGCGTAGGTGGGCTCGAATTTGGTGGATACGATAGGTCTGGAATGGTATTATAAAGAATGTGTGTTATAAAGGACTTAACAAGAAAAAATTGCAATTAGGATATACTTTCAAAAATTTAACATCAAAGCATTTACAAGTATTGCTCATATAGTTAAAAGCTAGGTTAGTTATTAGCATGCTGGTTGTTGTGTGTGGTTAGTAGCGGGGCTACCTGGAGCGGTTCTTCAGCTTTTCCCAGTAGGAGCTCTGATACATTCCAGTAATCCGATCCACAAGCGATCCATTGAAGTTGAGTAGCAATGAGTAGTTGCCAGTCTCCAAGGGTTGCTCAAACTCGGTGACCCAGTACTCGAACTCCGGATGGGCGAAAGTAAGCGATGGAGTGATGTCCTTTAGTGGAGCACCGGACTCGTCCAAGTGCTTAACCTCAACGGTGCTCACATTCAGCTGCTTTACATGGACTGGGATGAAGGCGATGGGTTCCAGAACTTGCAGATTGATGCTTATGTTGCCGGAATAGTTTTTCCGGTCGAGATCGGGGCGCAAGTGGAGGCTATACTTGCTCGGCTTTATTTGCTTGGGCAGTCGGAATCCCAGATTTTGGAGCACCTTACTAGCAGCTTTAATGGAAGGCGCCAAGGTGGCCATAATATTCGATTTTCGGCTGGCGGGCACTTGGGTGGTATGTACGCGATTATCTGTGATTGGTAGGCGATTTTACAATCAGTTAGGCGCCCAAAATCTTATGTGTTTAATCTACTACACTATCAGTCTTATTAAAAGCTTAGAACAGTGTGACAGTGGGCTAAATATGATTTGCTCAAATATGCTTTGTAATGCTAAATACTCCATTAAATATACCAAACAAAATACTAAATTGGTTTTGAACTTGGATAAATCCCATTGGTATATTTTACCGCAGAAAGAGCGCGCCAAATTTAAACATGATTGTAGGCTATTTATGAATTTTCTTTGCATTTAAGTAAAAGTTAAGTCTGACAATAAACGAAAATATATGTCTGTGTTTAGAAGTATTGTATAGCATTGTAAAAAAAACTGATAGATTTGTAAGCTGATTCATTAAATTTCACTTGCAGAATTTGCAGATTTTTTATTTTTTAATTTTAATTTATTTAGTTAACCCCTGACTGTAAGCTCTTTTGTCATTTTCTAAATACTGATAGTCGATCATTTGATTTTTATTCACATTACCACAAGACAAACCTGAGAGTACACTGAGAATGGGCTTTGTGGAGAGCAACTGGTCCCTGTCCACGTAAACAGTGCGGATGGTGGAGTTCAAGGCCCACTGGGAGGCATTCGAATGCTGCTGTCTCTGATGCTCCTCGGCTATATTCTTGCCCACGTAGACGAGGGCTCCCAGCAGGAAGCCGCAGAGGACGAGCAGGAAGACGCAGAAGGCGGCGAGGGTAAGGATCGTGTTGCTGGGAGCCTTGTGTGGCCGGTTGGTGTCCTTGATCCGGTGGTTATCGTCTGTGGAGAGACTGCTGCGCGGGCGTACGTTTTTCGCTGCATACATGACTTTTGTTTTCTTTCTTCTGTATTTTTATTTTCGTTTATATATTCTGTAGACTAATTTTCACTGGGCTTGGTGCCTTCTACAACAGTAAATCACTTGAAAACATTATTTCAAAGGTAAACATCACTTTAACTGTAGTTTTATCACAAACTGAGCGAGAGACTGCCCCCAAAAATACAACAACTTCATCCAATCTATTGTGTCATCAAGCAAGGTAATTCGAGAGCATCATAAAAAGTCGCGTACTGATGCCATCATCAGTTTTTATAATCTCCGAGCTGCTTATAAACAAGCCGGGGTTTATTTTACCCGGCTTTTTATGGAGGTGCCACAGGTGAAGAGACGGAGCTGCTCAGCTTCCGTCACATTTCACTCCATCTCCAGCGCGGAGATTGCCTCAATTTTGTCTCACTGCAGATCAATCAGATGCCTGTAATTTTTATACCCCCAATCCCCCGACAACGGTCACGTAATGAAGTTGGTCATTTCGTGAAATTGTTACTACAAATACTCGAAGCCATTTTTGAGTTTAGTTGGTGTTGGAACTGGGCTGGCTAACCGCAATGGTTGCAATTCGAATCCCCGGGTTTGTTGCAATGATACGGCCACCACAGGCCACTTTCTACAGAGGCGTCTTTGGCATGGAAAAATTTGAATGCAGATATCCAATAACAATGACAATACGAATATCGATTTTGAATACTGATAAACTCAGTTTTATTCAAATGGTAAAACAATAAACTCAGATCAGTTAAGATAAACCTTTTTCTAAGCACATTTGATATGAATAGACATGATTTAAATGCTAGCTTTTAATAACTCTTGATTGATATTTGTTTTTCTTTCTTTTGAACTAATATGAAAGAAATGTATCAATATTTTCCCCCTGTGTACGATTGATTGACGGAAGGTTGTTGGCATTTTTGCCTGTCAATTTACAAAGTCTGTTGCACAAATCTCCGCAGATTGTGCGATGGGAAGAAATTGCAGATGCCATTATAAGCAATGGAAATGAATTGAATTGGCCGCCGAGCCGTGATCCACGTCTTGGGCTTTGACAATTATGTCAGGATATAGGGAGTACTCCTATATTAACAGAGAACAATATGCAATATGCAGCTGCAGTATCACACGAAACCCTATTCACTTCAAATTGTGCGAAATGAGGAATTCGAGACTGCAGAATATGCTAATTTTGAGCTGCGCCGACGGGCAATTGTCTCTGATACCCATACTATACATACGAATCTTCCGCGGATGAGATGATGTAATGCTGACTCAATTAGGGAGCGCACATCGCACAAAGCCACCGCACATTGGAGGCAACCAAATTGCATGACTACTACCTTATGAGTGGCTGAAAAAAAAACAACGTACAACCAGAAGATCTGCAGACAATGGTCGCGTCTAGAGTACATATACCAGAGTACATATACCTATATATATCTCCGACTTTCAAGAGGCAATCGGACACGCCCCATTGCACAAACGTGGATGTGGATATCTTGGCATTCTGAAGCCGATGAAGCGATGATCGCGGGGGCACAAGCCATAACATAACAGTTCTCATGCTTCGCTAATGAGTCGCATAAATTTCACTCTTTGAAGATCGAGTTGAATGAACACGGTAAGAAATCGGATGAATGAAGTTAGAGTGTCAGTAATATGTTTATGCCTTTGGAAAATAAATTTGTTTAAATTGAGACTTCGTTTGTCAGAATTTGTGTCAGTAATTCTCACTTGCTCATAATAAATAAATATAGAACTGAAATTACAACATCACAGATACATATACACAAAAATATTTCACAGATGCCAAGCAATACTCTAATTACAGACTCAATTATAAAGATAACAATACAATTTCGTCTCTCTGAATTATAATTTTTTCACTTTACAGCAAAATACGCATTGCACTTTTAAAATTTGAAACTGAAAGCTTTAATTTGAAACACGTTCTTTCAGTTTTTAAGGTCATAACTTTCACAATACACAAAGTCGCCGAGTAATAGCCACAAAAATGCAAATCGTTATACGTGACAAGTGCGCCCCAGAAACACCCAAAACTCAAACTCAAAATAAAAACCCAGAGAAATAAGAAATACAACCCATAACTCCCACCATGGGAAGACAAAGGTCGCCTTTACGTGCCTGCCATTTACGATATTCACAAAGGAAACATTAAAATAAAAACAATAAATATACCGCAGATGGGTTGACAAAGAAATGATTGCCACAATTTGCATGTTTGGGGTTAACGGAATGCGAAATAAATTTACTATCAATCAATGAGTTGCATCACCTTTAACAAAGGTAGACTATCAAATTAGTATAGGAAACATTGGCCTTGGAGAAATATTATTACGTTTTAAGCTCTATAAAAGAAATATTTACAAATATTTGTTTACAAAAAGTTATTTATACAGTTGAACGTTTAACAATCTGTAAAAAATCAAGAGTTTAACTTACTGGAAGTCAATATATGTTGAAAGCAAACAAATGTTGTTTTATTTAATTAACAACTCCTAAAATGACAAACAGTGAATTGTTTGTTAGCCATTAAATAAACGTGCCAATTAATAAATTAAATAAAAGCAAAAATAGACATTGAAAGAATATGAAAAAAAGAAATCAATTAATTTATTTAAAAGATCATTGAACTTAAAAGCGCCAAACCGTGTAATTTTTACACCTCGCAAAAAGGTGTCAAATGGCTTATCAATTCTTCAAAACCAAATTAATTTCTGCTATTAGTACAAAAATCTAATAAAAAACCCAACACTTTCGAAGGTTCAAAAAAAGAAATCAGTGTCAATGAAAATGAAAAAGGTTTGACCACCGAGCCTCGACTGAACTTTCAAGAACAAAACAAAACGAGAGAAAACACAGAGAGAAACGGGTGAGGGGTAAAAATACTACGACGACAACAAGTTGTCCGGCAGTCAATGATGTCGACCCATTTCGTTTCGGCTTTTGGAAGAAAGTATTTTCTCAGCGGCCATTGAGTATCCGCTGCATTGGAGATGTAAACACGACGCATTTCTTGGTCAACAGCCAGCAGATACACAGCGAGAAAAATCATTCTAATAGCAATTTTACGAAGTTTTGTAAATGCTATTTTTGGTTTTGATTTTGGTAATGAAATTGAGTATTATATTTATCGTTAGCAGATCTTTTAAGATTATTCAATGGGTGAGTAGCTTAAACCCATTTAAGATGGCAATTTATATTGATTTTATATATTTGATAATTTTTTTAGATTTAGTAAATGCATTTTGAAGTTTCGAATTGGCGTTGAGAATTATCTTGATTTTGATTTTTTCATGCTTAGACTGAAAAAATGTTGTCTGATCTTGGAATGCAAATAAGATTAGAATTTTGTTGATATGAAGAATAGAAAATCGAGTTGATTATGCCTTCAGAAGATTTGTTAAGATATTTTCGAAAGAGAGACAGAGACTTTGTATTGTTTGAATAAACTATTTACCATGCTTTTTCTTGCAGTGCAGCGACTGTGGCCGATTTAAGGCCAAGAACTTGCGCGGCAAGTGAACTATGTATGCATTTGGCTCCAAGCCTGTTTGCAGCAGGCAAAATGGTTGGGTTGGAGTAAAAAAAAGAGGGGAGCGGTGCAACCTGTTTGATTTTAGCCATGTGGAGTTCTCTTGGCCAGCTTGCTGCGATGGCTTGTGGCTCGTTGTTGTTTATCGACTGTTGAAAGTCAAAGTTGGCATAGAATCCGGTGGTCGCATTTCAGCACAAATATTAAAATAACTAACCGCATCAATGCCCACAATTAAAACCTGAATCTCGATCGCATAACGGACTAGCGTTCGGGTGACAATGGTCGTTGGGTAGTTCGGGAGCTTTTTGGAGCGGTCTCAACGGTATCCGATTGATCTGGGCCACTTATTATCTATTATTTTTGTAGCATTTCGCACCATATACGAGAGTATACTTGATTTACAGTTACTGAAATCACAGCTTTTCGTGTCACGTTTTGTCTACGAATGGCAATAATTGTCACTTTGCCGGGTCCGAGGAAAAATTTTCTCTCAGCTAATTTGATAACGGCAATTGGCGGACAGCTATCATTCTTGATTCAAATCGTAGGCGCGCACTTTGAGAAAAAACAGGCCGGGAAGAAAGGGGATCGAGAATCGTACTGCGGCAAATTGAGATCGTATTCCAAGTCGCGACCCGCTCTTTTTTTCGGGCGACCGTCGCGCTCAGCTTTGAACTTCCAACTGAAGCGGAGTTCCAAGACTGGCCACGATATTCGAGCTTCTCCGGAAAGCTCTCTCACCAGCTGAGACCGGCTTTTCAATAGCGCCCCAACATGCGGTTATTTTCAAACATTGGGGGTATTAGAGTGTATTGTGCTTGGGATTGAGAGATAAGCACACAGATGAGGGCAATAAAATAGATCTAAATTATATTCTATATAAACGATTTTAAGTGCTTATGTAAAATGCTATCAAGTTTTCTATTAAACTAAAATAATATAATATTTTCAAAGATGACGATTTCTTTGGTAAACATTATTCTTATAAAAGGAAATTATCTTTAAAAATTTAATATAACATAAAGTATGATTGTGTATAAAAGCACAGTAACTGATATACAAACTACATTTTTATCAGAGTTTGTTTTTCTTTTTCCGACCAATAAAATGGTAGACATAGGTATTAAGGTAGATTGGGTACTTAGAATATCCTTACTTATAAAAGACCATATACCAAAACTTTGTAACACAACTCACCTCTCAACACCCTCAGCGTTTGTATAGTTGCTGATGTAGCTGCCAACCAGGCTGCTGAGGTTGCAGTCAAAACTGGCCGACAAGGTATAGGCCTTGTTAAGACTTAGAACTTCCCTCAGAGTAATCAAAAGCAGCTCACGGGATTCATCCAGATTAATACTATCAATGGCCACACGCATGCGCGCCATCATATTCAAGATACTGACGCTATGAACATTGAGATCCTTGGCATGGAGAACGATTAGATTGGTAACCTCGTTTAGCTGGAACTGAATGGATACGGTACCCTCACAGGCACCCGTCTTCAGATCGGGCTGGATATATAGCTTGTACTTGATGGGTCTCAGTTCCGTGGGCAGGCGCCATTCGATCTGCGGGGTTGTAAAGATTATTCAATATCCACCAAAAACGATAATTAGTTGCGGCCCTATAAAGTGAGCAATGCCATGATAGTGTGGCGATATGAAATAGCAAAGTTGTGGTCAAGTCGTAAACAAAGTGGACTTCGTTGCAACAAATTAACCTTAGGGGGCTATAGGCGGTGGATATTGTGAAATAAGGTTCCTAGTATATAAGAGATAAAGTTTACAATGGGTAAATAAGTTATAAAACTACGAATTCTACAGAACTACAAAGTTAAGAAGTTTGATCCATTTACATTTACTTTATTAGGCTGAGTTATTAAAACATAAAAATTGAGTTATTTTCCATTAGAAATATCAGTCAGCAAGTGACTTTGAATATAATCCTCTAGAACATCCAACATCCTTTTGGCTTCAACCAACTGCAGCCACAAGTTATCCCTGTGAACCACCACAATTGTCAAAGCAATGATCAAACAGGTAGACAAGAGGCCAAAGAATATAGCCACTCTTTCTGCGGTGATCAAGTCTAGGTAAATATATATATTTCTAAATTTCTCTCAATCTGAATTCATTTCGAATAAATACCCTTAATCCTCTCCTTTGCTTTGCCCATTCTAGAACTCTTAACTCTTTGTTGGTCGCAATTAAACTAACTTAAAAGAACCCAAGGAATTAGCAATGTTTTGTTTTACAATAAAAATGGAAAAAGCCATCGTTAACCAAAGCGATAAGCACTTGAATTCAGCAATATATGACCAATATATTTATGTGAAAACTTGATAAATATAAATTAGTGGCCATGCCGACTTTACGATCACCGCTGACCATTTCGGAAACTTTTCCTAGCTGACGTGGGGGTTTCTCTGAGTTAAGTTCTTGATTATATAGAAATTTATTCGGAAAGCTTAAGAATATAAGATTTTTTTTCAAGATTTAACACTGCTCTTACCTTTTCTGGATCAGGAAGTCCTGTTGGCAATGTCGGATAAATGGGATTGGCGCTGGAAGATGTGCTCTCCGTACTGGATGTGATATCTCCTCCTGGCGAGGTTTCACCTGGGGACGTTCCTCCACTGGGTGTTGTGTCGCCCCCTGCGCCTGGAGTGGTGGTAGTGCCTTCATCTGTTGGCCTATTAGGATCTGCGGTAGTTGTCGTTGTGGTGGATGTGGAAGTGGTATCTGCTGTCAGGGCATCAATCTTGTCAAGGGCATCCTGCAGATCGTTCTCTAGATCCGCGTTCTGAACGGCAAGCACAATGGTGGCCACACAAAAAGCCGTGGAGGCCAGGCCCAAAAAGATGGCCACTGACTTAACAGTCAGCCCTGTGAAAATAACTCATATAAGTTTTAGATTCCTTTGGTTCTCCTATATAAAACTTACAGGCAACCATTTCTAGGGATACTTTTTTGTCACGGAGAACTTTTGATTGCTTCCACTAGGCTGGAAGCCAAATTGGAAACTGAATGCAAGTCGCGAATCTGACCCTACAATTTGGACTTGATAAACCTGACCAGATTGCTGGCCGATATCTAGACTATATACTATATAGCTCCGTGACCAGATAAATACGGTTTATGCTAGACTATAACTACGTTTATGTTTACAACAAGGCCATATATCGAATTTTATGACTGGACAGTCTCGGGATAATTACGCATGGTCATGATTCCATTTTGACCATATACTCGTAACCCCTATCTTAGGCAATTCCTGGGAGCCATAGAAATCGCCACTTGCCCGGATAAAATTGAAGAAAGGGGGTTTCATTTATGGTTTGATTTTGGAATTTCATTTTATTGAACTCAAACGGAATTTTCGCAGGTTTCTTATGCAATTCTAATTAGTGGTTAATTGGCTTGTTTTTTTTTTATACATATATTTTACAATAGGTTTTTCTTGGTCAGCGGCGAGGCCGTTCCACTTAGCCAGTCGGTGATGTCAGCATGATTACTGGACAGCCACTCGATGTTGTACTTGATGGTCTCCACGGCCTCCAAACGGGAATTTGCACCAGCTCCCGATTCTGGGTATTTGATGAAGAATTGCTGAACTTCCTCCAACTTTACAGAGCTGGCAAAGTTAGCTGTGATCTGGGCAATAAGACGACCTAAGTTGCGGTTGTTAAGGTCAAAGCGAGCGACGAGCTGAAGCCATTTCTCGCGGTAGAATTCCCAAACCACATGTTCACCCACAGGATTGGCGGCTATGTACTGCACACAGGTGAAGTAGTCCTGGGACCGGACAATGGTCTCGTTACCCGCTTTAACCAGGAAGTTGTACAGCAATTGGCTATCCAATACGCCAGATAATCCGTACATCAGTTTCAACTTCTCGCTGGCATCAGTTTCGGTCACAAAAATATCGAACAACTTCTCCCAATCCGATTGGCTGGTAGACTGCTGAATGCCATAGTAGTAGATGATCTCACGAAGATCGGGTGAAGGTCGGCTAGTGGGGTTCAGCAGGAAGGCGTTGAAATGCTGGGCAGCCTGCTCCAAACAATCTGAAACACCTAGAGCACAGGCGGTGGTCAAGATGGAAACTCTAAGGCGGCTGTAAAGGAAAACAGAATGAATCAATGAATTTATATTTAATGGAGTGAATGTAATCCTTACTTTCTCAAATGATTGTCGGCATCCACAGTCCAACCGACCTCCTCGTAGACCCCAGCAATCAAGCTTCTGGCATAGGTGAGGTACGAAACGTAGCCCTCGCTGAACATCAGACTACGATGAAGGGCCCTGAGCTTATTGGCAGCCACATACCAGGGCACAAATTCACGCTCCTGGGCCAAATACGCGGTCATCTCCAGAGGAACCCTGTAGGAAAGTTGGCTGGCATCTGCCAAAGCAAAGGCATCGTTTAGGAGATGAGCACGATCTGCGATAGCGAATCGATCGGGACTAGTGGTCAGTTGCTGGGTGAGCAGAGTCCACAGACTCTCCTCGTAGTTCACACGGTAGTAACCAGTTTGATTGGAATTCAGCTTGATATATTCCACATTGCTCTCCACGGGAATTGTCACGGTGTCAACGTCGTACTCGAAGATTAAGCTGCCCTCTGAGCCATCACTAGCAACATAGGTAATTGGTACACTCCACTTGTAACCGTAAGTGCTATCTTCGGGAGCTTCGTCATAACTGGCTGGATTGGAGAGGAATCGTTGCTGGGTAACCTGGAAGGTGCCATCGGCCACCTTCGATACATTTAACACTGGATAACCCATCTGTTCGGTCCAGGTGAGCATCAGTTTCTTGATCTCCACGTCAGTTACCACTGCTTCCACTTCGGTCAGGAAATCATCAGTCACAGTATTGTTGAACTGGTGCTTCACCAGATAATTGGTCACAGCCTCCTCGAATTTCTCAGCACCAACGAGGGTCTCCAGCATGCGGATAACGGATCCACCCTTTTCATAACTGATGGTGTCAAAAATGGCAGTAATTTCATCGGGGGATTCCACCTTCTGGACAATTGGGTGAGAAGATAACTTGGCATCGTACAACAGCACGGGTTGCAGGGCCACAATTTGGAACTGTTCCAGCTGGTTGAAAAAATTAGAAAGGGAGTAAGTCATTTTTATTAGAACTTCATAGGAAGACCTCTTACCATTCCCCAGTCCGCATGGACAGCGTTGACTCCCTTGTACTGCATAAAGCGAGCGAAACCTTCGTTCAGCCACAGATCGTTCCACCATTTCATAGTTACCAGATTTCCGAACCATTGATGGGCAATCTCATGTGCCAAGGTTCCGGCTATCGACTGTTTGTTTGCCGTGGAACTATAGCTTGTATCGTACAGCAGAGCAGTCTCCCTGTAAGTGACCAATCCCCAGTGCTCCATTGCTCCAGAGGCAAAATCAGGAATGGCAGCCATATCCAGTTTGGTCAGAGGATAGGGCACCTTATAGTACTGGATGTAGTACTCCGTGACAGCTTGTCCGAACTCCAAAGCGAATGCAACTTTGTTGATCTGATGGGATGTGGCATATGCCTGCATGGAGAAGTCCTCACCGATGCCATTAGCCCTGACTGTGGTTGATTCGGAAGAAAAGTCCGACACAATGATGCAAACCAGGTAGGTGCTCATCGACACACTGGTCTCGAAGATGGCCTCCGTGTAATCGCCCAAATATATGGAATCCTAAGGGTAATTTAAGATTTAATCTAGTTAAGTTAATAAAATAAGACTAATATATCATACAGTTTGCTGCATATTGGAAACGGCGTGGTAAGAACCAGTGGGATGCACTACTGTGATGTCAAATGTGGCCTTCAATGCTGGCTCATCAAAACATGGGAAACCTTGACGGGCATAGGTGGGCTCAAACTTTGTGGTTGAAATGGTTCTATAAATTAAGAAAAAAGCCATTATGTATAAACACAGCATAACGATGGAAAGCACAATGGGCTTTGACTAACAGCTACTTTCCGATTTTGTCTTGCATACTTTTCGGCTTTTTTAAAAATTGTTCAGCTTACCGAATAGCTCCTGCCTCATTTAGATAGGTACTACTGTATAGACCCACTAGCTTGTCCTTCATCTGCCCACCGAATAGGATACCAAGGGTAATACTAGCACCCACCGGCATCTCTTCGGTCAGCGTGATGATCAGAAACTGTCGTTCTTCCTCCAGTACATAGTTGTCCACTTCCCAATTCAGCACATAGACATTTGTGATGTCCAGGAGATAGGAGTGCAGAATAATCTGATTGGTAGCTTCAACAACATTGATGCTAATCCTCAGCTGTCCAGTGAAACTGCCAGTTTCCAGATCTGGGTGCCAATAGAGGTTGTAATGCGTCGGCACCAAAGCCGTGGGCAGACGGTAATCAATCTAAATGAGTAGATATTGATAATAAATGGATTTAACTGATTAAATTAATCTAACTTTTACGCACCGTATCTTCACGTTTCATGCGATAACGACTCGCTCCGTTCCACTCCTCATAAATATCGATTTTGTCCTGGACATCGCGAAGGTCCTTCTCCAGCTTTGCTTTCTGCACCGCCACTACAACGGTGGCAGTGGCAAAGGCCACCACCGCCCAGGCGAGCACCACCTGCAACCAATAGCCTCTTAGGAACATCTTTGCAATCGCACCTATCGCGAGCGACTAACTAGCGGGTTTAGTCGGTGGATCCAACACTATACACTTGTTGCCCAATATTCGACTCGAGTTGATTTGTGTGCACTCGAATTGGTTTATGTTCGCCTAAACGATTGCGATAATGATTGGCTAAATAATAGCGATTACGGTCAACCAAGCGATAGGGTAAAAACCAGAGATCTTGGCTGCCCATGGAGGAAAAGTGGCAAAATACTAGGCGGAAGAGTATGAATTCGTGTGGGTTATGACACAATAGCAGTATTATGGAATCAATCACATCATTTCAGATTATTTTATACTTTTACTATTTCCCTGAAGCAAATCTGTATTATTGCTAAATTACCAGTTCAAATCTTTTTCCTTCCTCTCTATAACTTTTATATATAGTTTAGCTGTTTCTTTCAGCAAGTTGTGTAAGTTTGTTTGTTAATTTATCACCAAGTCGCTAATCTTAAATTGGCAATTAAAAGATTAAGTATAGCTCTGGGAATTTTGCTATATATAATTTATGATTTCTGAAATGAGTATTCGAACTATTTTATAAAATATCCAATAATGTTTTTCGCGTTTCATCATAGAGTAAGTAAAATTCCATTGATTGTTAACTAAAGCTATAAATGTCAATCAAATCAGATCGTGTCCATTACTCACTCCCACCAAAAAACTTGTTATCTAACATTGTTATCAATCAACCAAATGGATAATTGCTTATTTATTGATCTGTAATTTCAGTTTTCCCCATAACTAGCTTATCTTTATTTCCACTTGTTCGGCATATTTTTGCTTTATAATGGCAATTAGATGAGTACAAAATTTAATGCGATCGATGGTCGCAAGACCACTTCCTCCTCGGACTTTCCTACAGTTGCTGTTTGTCCAGCCAGGCGTCCACGCCCTCCAGATTCTCGGCCAGCCAAACGATGTTATTCTTGACCGTCTCCAGGGCTCTCACTCGAGCAGCTGTGCCAGCTCCAGCTTCCGGATATTTGGCAAAGAACTGCTCCATCTCCTCCAGCTTGGTTTGGGTACTGAAGCGTGCCGTGATTGAGGGTATCAGGTTGCCCAAATACCGCTCGTTCAGACCAAAACGATCCACCAGCCGTTGCCAGTTCTCCCGGACATAATCCCAGACTAAGGGTTCACCCGCTGGATTGGCGGAGATATAGGTAAGGCAAGTGAAATAGTCCTGACCCCTCACGTAGTCCTCATTCCAGGCTAGATCAATGTATCGTTTTAAGATCCAGGGGAATTTCTATGGCAGCCAGACCATACATCAGCTTGGACTTCTCACTGGCATCAGTTTCGTTGACAAAGAGCTCCCAAACTGCATCCCACTCTTCCTGATCCCCAACAGACTGAATGCCATAGTAGTAGACAGTCTCACGCACATCAGCCTTTGGACGATCCTCCGGCTTTGCCAGCCATGTCTTAAACTGCTCTCCGGCTTCAGAAAGACATGATTCTAGACCCAAGGAACAAGCGGCACTCAAAGCGGTTACACGAAGGCGACTGGGGATAAGAAGATTATAAGCTTTCAAAAATCATTTGGATTATCGAAGTTCACTTACTTGTCCAAATGGTCCTCGCCAACGGTCCAGGTCAGTTTCGTGTAGATGGGCTCAATCAAGGCAGTGGCGTACTTCTTGTACTTGGCATAGCTGGTGGTATAGTACAGAGTTCTCTTCAAGGAAGTCAGACGGGAAGCAGCCACGCTCCAGGGAACATAATCAGCCTCCTTGTCCAAGTACCTGGTCAACTCAAAGGCCGTTTCATAGGGCAACTGAGTGGAATCGGCGAGGGCGAAGGCATCGTTGAGAAGGCAAGCCCGATCTCCAGCGCTGAAGGAACTTGGTTCAAGCACCAGTTGATTGGCCAGATTGTTCCAAAGTTCGGTATCGTAATTAACGCGGTAATAACCCACCTGCTCAGCGTTAAATTTAATCCACTGGACGGGAGCCTCAAGGGTTACAGTGACTGCCAAAAAATAAACAAAGATTCACAGATCAGCAATCTTCGCGAACCATGGGTCTGCATATAGATGACACCACTTACTTTCGCTCTGGCCATGATAAAACCATTGACGTTGCACCACCGACTGCGAACTGGTGGTGTATGTGATTGGGATCGACCACCGGTAGCTGTATAATGTATGTGCGAAATTCGCGATCAGATACCACATCCAGGTAATAAGTTCTGCTCACTCACTTGAATTCCGAGGGCTCGTGATCTTCGGCATAGTCGTTCGGATTGGACAAGAAGCGGTTCTGCGTCAATTTGTATTCCGTGTCGGAGACCTTCTCGATCGTGACCACCGGCAGACCCATCTACGTAGAAAAAAGAATAACCAAAAAAAAAGGTTGAAATATTCGCCAATTTCTTAAGTCTCCTAAGGGTTTACCTGCACTGTCCAGGTTAGCATAATGTCTGTGACATTGTAGCCCAGTTCCAGTTTGTCGATCTCAGCAAAGAAGTTACCCGTTTCTGCCGTGGAGTACTTGTACTCGTTCAGATAGTTGGTTACAGCCTGTCGGAAGGTGGTCTCTCCCAGGAAATCCTTCCAACATGCGGACAAGAGAGGAACCCTTTGAGTAGGTAATGGTGTCAAAGATCTCTGTGATCTGATCAGGATTCTCCACGGTCTGGATAATTGGGTGGGAGCCGAGGGTGCCGTCCAAAGTAAGCACGGCATGCAGGGTGCTCACAATGAATTGATCGCGCTGAAAAGGATTCAAGTTGAAAACTTTGTTGATTTAATCCTTGGGGTCACTTACCATTTGCCATTCTGGGTAGACGGCGTCCACGCCGAGATACTCTATGAAGCTAGCGAATCCTTCATTTAGCCAAAGATCGTTCCACCAGTTCATGGTTACTGAAAATTATTATAAATTAGTTATAAGTAAGTCATCTATTAGTCTTGTTAGTTCGAGTATTGGTCCTTTAAAAGTTCCCCACTAAGTGCAGACTAATGAAACTTAATACTTTTAATTCGTCTGATATTAAAGCCTTTAAAGATTAGTGATTAGTGATATTAAATATTTCTAATCCTTCCGATACTGAAATCTATTGGACTTCTTTCTAACACCCTGGGGAATATCCCCAATTCCTTAGAGCCGTAGCTAAACTCACCCAAGTTTCCAAACCACATGTGAGCGAAATTCGTGGGCAATTACGCTTGCAATGCGCTGTTTGTTGGTCGCGGAACTCGTCTCCGCTTCGTACAATAGCGAGGTTTCCCTGTAAGTGACCAATCCCCAGTGCTCCATGGCGCCGGAGACGAAGTCGGGAATGGCAGCCATATCAAGTTTCGGTAGCGGATAAGCAATTTGGAAGTAGTCGATGTAATACTCAATAACTCCTTTGCCAATATCCACGGCAAGATCCACTTTGTCCAGCTGCTCTGGAGTGGCATAGACGCTCATGGTGAATGTTTCTCCAATACCCTTGGTGTCAATGTCCACCTTCTTGGCTTTGAAGTCGGAGACAATGAAGCAGGCCAGGTAGGTGCTCATGGGAACACTCTTAGCAAAGGTAACCTCCTGGAAGGCTCCCTGATAGACAGACGACTCCTCGTTCATGTTAGACAAGGCATGGTAATCATCCCCAGAAGGATGTACCAGGGTTATGGTGAACGCGGCCTTCAATGCCGGTTCATCAAAGCAGGGAAAAGCCTGACGAGCATACGTGGGTTCAAACTTGGAGGTGGCAATCCACTTGCGGGTCTCATCCTCCTTTAAATACGACGAGCTGTACAGACCCACAATCTTGTTGGCCATGGATCCTTCGAACCCAATATGCAGAGACACTTCCCTGCCCTGGGTAAGAGGTTCACTCAACTGGAATATCAGGAACTCCCTGATGGGATCCAAAGTTATCTCCAGGATCTCTAAGGTATTACTGCCCGTGTTCATTATGGACACACTTGTGATGTTCAGGTTGAGGGAATGCAAGACGATCTTATCGGTGGCCTCCACAACTGTAATTGTGATGGTCTCCTGTCCACCGAATTCACCCGTCTCAATGTTTGGGGACAGATAGAGATCATAGTGGGTGGGTTTCAAATTGCCGGGTAATCGGTAATCAATCTTTTCTTCTGGCGCTTCAGTGGTTCCAGGAGAAGCAGTAGTTCCAGGAGAAGCAGTAGTTCCAGGAGAAGCAGTCGGATCTGTGGATGCAGTAGATCCAGGAGAAGCAGTGGGATCTGTAGTTTCAGTGCTTCCAGGAGCGGCAGTTGATCCTGTAGAGGCAGTGGGATCTGTGGCTCCAGGAGAGGTAGTGGAATCCGTAGATTCCGTGGATCCAGAAGAAGCTGTGCTTCCTGTCGATGCAGTACTTCCAGGATCGGATGTGGTATCTGAACTAGTACTTATTCCAGGATCTTCGGTACTCGGACTGTTGGTGCTGCCAGGACTCACAGTGCTCGTGGTCGTCGGAGCAGCCGTGCTCGTAAACCCCGCCTCCAGAAGATCTAACTTCTCCTGGGCATCGCGTAAATCATTCTGAAGACTCGACTTCTGTACGGCCAGGACAATTGTCGATACGGTGAAGGCCGTGAGCGCGAGGCTCAGGCCGATGGCTACCAACTTCGCGGTGACTATCATGGCCACGTTAATCCAACACGGGCGGAGTCCAAACCGAAACTAAGCGATCTCCAGGGCAAAATAGCGACAAGTTAGGTAGTTGAGGGAACCTCAAGTGGGCCCCTATATCTTAATTGGCTGGCTGCGTTTGCAGATTGCTAATCTAATCGCACGTCGATGAGCCGCTTCAACGGTATTAGCCAGAACATATGTATGAAATTCGAGTGCGAGTGCTAGTGCTAGTGCTAGTACGACTCCGGCTGACAATCGTTCGAATTTATAGACCCTGTCATGGCGCTGTGATTAAACTTAGAAATGCCAAAGATCTGGCGCGTTTTTCCTCGGCAAGTCGGAATTCCAAACTCACTGCTGAGCCCCGAGGAACTTCCAATGTCAAGGCCCATATGTGTGATCACTTATGTATCCCTCAGATATTCAAATGCTCAGGCTTACGAAGACCAATTGAGCAAATTTTTTACTACCTGCGATCGCCCTGTCCCTTTCTCATTTCTGTTTTACCCGGCGCTTAGATCCTAAAAAACCCTTTTCCGGTGCTCTCTCCAGCCAGACGAGACTTTCAACCTAATTAGAGAATCGGTATTTTCATTGTGTTAAAACCCAAACATCGAAATTTCCGCACACGTTTTCGTAACGCCTGGAACTGAAGTATTACTTATAATGACTTTGGCTTTGTTAAATGCTAGATGGAATAGGGAAGTTCCCCATAAAAAATATGTATTTCCTAATTATTGTATTGATTTACACTACTTGTTGGTAATAAAAGTTTTGTTTTGTGTTTTTGTAGATTTATTAATGGCACGCTCTGCTTTTATTAATCACATTATCTTTATTAAGTGCTGACGAGGTATCACTTTTTTACAGTTTGTATTCAGGGTCTAGCTTTTCTTTTCATTTATTATCTATCTATCTATCAGAGATTGAAAATTTATGACTTTTGCCTCTTATCTGCAATCACACTTATATAGCCGTAGCCTATCTCATTATTGTATTCTTAATTTGATGACTCATTTTAAAGATTGGTGGCTATAGCTATTGACTGAATCTCAATAAATATTCTCTCCAAATTGTGTTTAACATCATTTGCATTGATCCTGGGTATTAACTTTTACGGAATATAGAAACAATGCCGGCTCTTCCCGCCGGCTCACCACAAAGCGCAATTAATTTCCCAGATTATATTTACTGTCGGTCATATGTTTTGTTATATAATTGGCTTGGCCAGTCCAAAACCCAAACAAACCCGAATTAGTGTTGTTGTTGTGCAGTGGGAATCCGGGAAAATCCGGACGTGTTGAATGGAAACGGCAGGGTTTCATTCATGAAGCACGTCGGACGTCTACCTGCCTAAGCGTGGGAAAGTTGCTTGCACAGCAAGAAAAAAGGATCCTCCGCCGCAGGACGAGAGCAGGTAGTCATCGAGGAAATTGGGCTGCTCCGCAATTGCGTCGCGGGCTGTCAGTGGGTTTTTGTATGTGCCCGTTGCTGGGAGTTCCTACCCCCTGCCCATGCAAAATTTCCAAGTGGAAAACGACAAATTTCCGGTTTTTTGATCAGGCCCGAATTTCCCACGGGCCGGCCCCAGGAGGGCGCCCGGATTTCGAAATGGGCAGGCTATATAATTGTGCTGCCCAGCATCTTCATCATTCAGTCGAGTCAACGACATCGCAGAGATAACATCTTATAATACAATTTACAAGACTATCCAGACATCATGCTCTTTGCAATCGTTTCATTTCTGGGTGTTACAAGCACTTTGGCGGCAGTCTTAGACCCCATAAACTACTACCAGTACACCCAGTACCAGGCTCCAATTTCCTGGGAAGATATAACAGCAAAGGGTCTGAAGCAAGCTCTTGACAGTTGCCAGCAGAGTTTCCAATGGCAGCGGTGGAATTGCCCTAGCCAGGATTTTGTCCAGAGGAACTCAAAGCCGGAGTTGTCTTCCCCAAATCGAGAGGATGTCTATGTGTCTGCCATTTCCATGGCAGCAATAGTACATACCTTGACAAAGGATTGTGCCAATGGCATCATCGCAGGGTGTGGATGCACTGATAATGCCCTAAACGTTCCCTGTGCTCATGAGCCAGCAAAGGCGTTGGAACAGTACGAGAAGCATTTTGGATCAGGATCAGAAGCCACGGGTCACAATCGGCGGGTTGTAGGAGCTCTTCTAGAAAAATCACTAGAGCAGGAGTGCCGATGCAAGCAACCAGGACCTGTGCATGGAAAATGCCAAGAGGAGGAGTGCGTGGCTGTCCTAAAGCCATTCGAAATCATTGCCCAGGATCTTCTGCAAATGTACGACGATGCCATTCAACTAGATAGTGGCAGTAGCAATCTGAAGATAATGTGGCAAAACATCCCATTGGACTCCCTGGTTTTCATGCAGGATTCACCGAACTACTGTGAGCCCAATGCTAGTGGACTGTGGAAGGGAACTCGTGGTCGCCAGTGTTCCAAAGATGGCAGTGGATCTCTAGAGGAACGCCTCTCCTGCCAGCAATTGTGCCGTGTGTGTGGATATCGTGTGAGATCCCAGCATGTGCGATCCGAGAGGAGGTGCAACTGCAAACTGGTCTGGGGATTCCGACTCCAGTGCGATGTGTGCGTCCAGCTGGAAAAGCAGTACTCCTGCTACTAAAGGGATGTTACGCAGATATTGGGGCGCTGGTCGAGCCCCAAGACTAAACTTTATTAAATACTTAAGTTAATTTATTTGTTTCCACCGCTAATTTATTGCCACAACAAAGGCTATCAATAAATACGTAAATTAAAATATACTATAAAATTCTGCAATCACTTTTCTTTGAGCTTAAGGGGGCTTGGTAATTTATGAAGTCTAGAGAACCATCACTATCACTTTCCGCAGGTGTTAATGCTTAAAAGTAATTTAAGGCCAAAGAAGTATTTGGTCTCTCAATCAGACAACAATAATGACTAAGACCTATAATTTTGGAAGTTACCATCTGACTTTTCAACCTTTCCCAGATAATTTATCAGAACAGTAAATCAACCCGATTTGTGTATATGTTTATTTCGAAGCACTAAAACCAAAACTTATAGCAATTTGAGACTGATCTAGCTGATCCAGGTGGTCGGTTTGCCCTCGACCCGGTAGCCATTATAGGCGGCAGCCGCCGAGGAGGCAGCCGCGGCCAACTCTGACCTCCGACTTGGTTCGCCGGCCCAGTAAGAGGGCACCTCATAGCTTTGGACCATCTTGTTGCCATTCTTGATGGCCGAGATAATAAGCAGGAAGATGGCCAGCTTGCCAACCAGAATGGATTTGACCAGCAGCAACTTCAGCTTGGTGACCAGAAATGGAACAATCGCAGATTGGATGAGGAAGGGGAGGATGAAGAGTGGTAAGACTTTGGTGATCATGTCGTACTTCTTTCCGCGACCTAGAAAGATTTAATATTTCGATTTAATTAAATTCAATTTCTTAAGTTTGTAGAGATGTAGAAACTTACCTTCTTCACTATTATCTAAGGTTAGCCATCGAGCTCCGATGATCTCCTTGAGATTCTCGCCATCCAGCTTCACATGCACAATGTCGTTACTCATGTCCAGGCTGACATTAAGTCCAGGACCTACATGATACCGCTGTATGCTCTCATTTTCCTGGTAAGGATCAGGCTGATCCGTTTCAGATTCCACATCCTCACGCCGCTTGTTGCGATCCTTGCGCTTGCGTTTGCGTCGCTTTTTTCCAGCTAAAGATTCGCTGTCATCGTAATTGGGTGACTCTGTTTGGGTTTCCATTAGAGCTTCGGCCTGGGCATCTTGTCGGATTACCTGGGCCAGTGTATCCCTAGGGTCCAGCTGTTCGGGATCCACTGGTTCGGGTGCCTCATTCGCATTTTCTGACACTTGGGGAGCACTCACCCGATCCCGTAGTCGTTTTTTGTACTCATTCGTTGTTTTATTGCCCAAGTAGGTGCTCTTGTAGTTCTTGTAGATGCCCATGAAGATGTGCGAGTTCTTGCGCAGCGCCTGCTTGTCCTCCGGCTCATAGCTACTGGCTAATCCTCGTGCCGCGTCTTGACTGGCGGTGGATGTTTCCTGAATATCTCCACCCTCACCATTACTATCCTGGCCAAAAGCCAGAGATATGCAGAGCAGGCTCAGTAAAAGGAATCTCACCAAGTCACTCATCTCTGTTGCATGTCAGTTGGAAACTTTAGATCTGAGTAAATGAATTTGCGTGTTACTGCTGCAATGACCAGCCGCAAAATGTGGCACGAACGGCTGTGGCCAAGCGTTTTATCAACTCCGAAGAAAGCTGAAGAAAAGCAGCAGAGTAGCGGCAGTAAAGCCAGAGCTAGCTGCATTCTGAGGCTGGAATTGGCATTGGAATTGAGCACAGAGACAACTGAAAGAGTTGCGCGAAGTTGCCGCTGCATCAGCAACCTGTTGCAACTTGCAATGTTGCGGGTTGCCGATGCTAGAACACGATTCTTGTGCTGGATCCTCTTCAATTAAATTGCCAGTCAACCAACTCGATGTCTGTGTTAGAAGCAACAAATCAACAACAACATCCGAAAAAAAAGAAATATCTGGAGTAGGCCTGCAATTTCTTAGTGATCTCGCTCATTGATTTCTTTTAGCTTTAATTGCCCCCGGGACCCCGCGGCATTGGCCATAAATAACGTTGGCTCTCTAAGTAGCCTGCTAACGGTTCCCGATTCCATTCTTTACCCCACATCATCGTTGCCAGACGCCTCCAATTAACGCTTGACGGCCATCGCATGGGAAAGTTGTTGACAAAACTGGCGCAGGCGGCAGGCAGATCGCTCTCAAAATCCAGAGTAGAAAGTAAATTCTATCCATTGGATTGACCGACCGTTGCGAAAAATCCGCTTTACCGATTTGGTCACCTAATTTACTTTCACACAATTAGCGAAAAACAAATACTCCAATTCGCCATAGGGAAATCTTTATGCGGATCGATTGCGGTAGCTATGGTTTTATTTCCACCCATAACATGAACTTCGCAATGTGGTAGCCGTGTTTTATTTCCACAATATCACGATTCGATAACATCTACCACACACTACAAAGGTAATCTAATCTTTTGCCAAGCATCGATTAATCCATTTGGAATGATAGTCTGAAATATGACAAACAAAGTTCAGAAGGAATAGTTTACTCGCTGACTCATAAACAGACACTAAATTTCTAAGAATAATTTCTATGATTACTAAAGAGATTCAAATTAAAATCAACCATTTGATCCTCCTTGATTAAATTAACTTTTTATATAACTTAAAGTATAAATTATTTATATAATTAAAATATTTAATATGTAAGTTATTCAAGAAAAAGTACTTTTAAACTTTTGCATAAATTACAATAAACTCACAGACTTGCATTTCCATATTACTTTCCGTTAATGAAAGTGAATTGCAATGCCGAGGGCGTGGAATGCTATTCATCAATGAATTTCCGTTACTCAGCCAATGGCTAAAACATAGTTGCCGTTTTTAACTACCAACCATTGATTATAAATTAAAATGCAGTACCTGATTGTTAATTAGCTGATAAATCATTATCGGCCAGCGACGAAAAATGAAAGCGAATCGAACGAAGAGACTTGGGTGCTGCCCTCAATATAGACACGCGTCGTGAAAGAATGCCCATGTCCAAGTTCCATGTCCAAGTTCCTATGCAGCACACCCCCAAATGCGTTGGGCCCGAAAAAGGGCCCTCAGAGGTAGTGAAAATAATGAAAAACTGCATGCATATTCAAAGAAGTGCACAGCAAATAATCGGAAAAAGTTAAACACATCAATAATAAACCTGAACCAGACGTATTCCAGTTAGAAGTCATTTTTAGTTTCAGAAATAATATACAAAGAAAATTATAACCTAACATTTTTCAATCCAAAAAATCATGTTGTACTAAATGAAATTTTGTTAATTTAATATTGGTAAATATTATTAAAAAAAATAATTCGCATATTTTAAACAAATTTTATTTCATATTTCCTACATTTAAGCAAAGACTCTATAAAAGCTCTTTTTTTTCTCAGTGCATTGTCATCTATAAGCCGTCGGGGGCAGTCTCATTACAGCCTGAACCGTATGGCGGCGGCACGATTTGCTTGTTTTGGCGCACGTTCGTGCTACGCTGCGGCTGCGCGATGTCCGGCTGCCGAATTTCAAGTAGCCGCCCAGTGTGCCGGCCCAGACCCTCGTCGATAAAAGCCAATGTCAATGTGAGCCCTCCATTCAATTGTTAGCCAGTGCCAGAGTCGAGCACAGTGCAGTGTCAAACGGATTACCAGATACTCATCCTCAAGGAATCAACGATCATCGAAACCTAAAATCGAAATGGCCGCCAACCAAAAGATTGTCTTTGCTCTCGTTTGCCTGTTCTTGGCTTGTGATTTGGTATTGGGTCAGCAGCAGGCGGCCAACAGCTCGGATGCGGAAACGGATGTGGAGGGTTAGTTTTTTATATATATTAAAAACATTTGTTAAAATTTTCAAAAAAGTTCTTAAAAAAAAAAAAAAGTAAAGCGATTTTTGAATTGTGAAAATATACCTTTGCTCCAGCTTGTGCTGAATCAAAGATTTAAACTATATTTTTAGTTTATAAATCAAAATAGATCTGTTATTAGAAAATAATTATTTTACCTTCCTTCCAGAAAGCCGTACTTTTGGCCATCATTTCCTGCGGCGCATCAGCTTCGCCTTGGTGCCCGGTGCCTTCGTCGTGGGCGTGATCACCACCCTGCTGGCGGCCTTGACCGTGGTCTCCATCAAGGGATTGGGTGTTGGTGTCATCCTGCTGGTGCTGGCCATCGGTCAGATGTTATCCCGTGCCCTTCCAGTCCAGGCAGCTGCTGCCTATGCCGCCGCTCCCGTTCCTGTCCAGGCCCCAGTGCCCGTGGTCTACTCCCACTCGCACACCCAGCAGCCCGTCTGGTTGGAGAAGGAGTGGTGAAGGGGATATTAAGGTTATGACCAGGATTCAGAATAACGGCGAGCTGGTAGCAGGCCAGGATTCACGTATACCTCAGCCTCAGCGAGCATGCAACCAAATAATAATTTAAGTCTAGTTTAAATTATTTATTTAACTTATTTATTTATTACAAGTCAAGGATGGCAAAAGCATACAGCAGAGAATTTTTGTTAATGGAAAATAATGAAGATTAGTCTGCTGAATGAGGATAATTATAAATTTATTCATATTTGTTAGGAACATTTGAGTAATGAAAGAAGTTTCAGCAAGAAAATGTCTGTTATGAGGAGTGTTCTACAGAAAAAAAAGATAAATATGATTTTAGTAACAATAAAAAGCATTGAAAATTGAACACAAGAAGACTATTAGTTTATTCTAGTTTCCTTTTTTTGTTTATCTTTTCAAAATTACAATCAGCTCTTTAAATAACAAATCAATAATCGAAATTTCCTGCTGACAGCGGCCATGGATTTGATTTGATTGCGTATATTTTTTCAGCTGAAATGAAAAGTGAAATTTCTATCTCATTATGAATTCGACGGAGGGCGTTCGTGATTTACGGTTCTTTTAACTGCTCTTCCGCAGTGCCACACGTATAGAAAGTCAAATGATACTCCCCAAGTTCCAAAATAATCGAAATGGGTCACAGTTAGTTGAAACATCAAAAGCAATAATTGTATGGGGGCCACGGATTTCTCCTTGTCTATATTGATACCTCATTATGGTTAGAGACTAATTAATTAACTCTCACTTGATCCATCGTCACTTAATTTAAAGCGTATCGATTTTCTAGAGATCTAGCCGCTCAATCATCTCGAATCCGGCTTTAATTGTTCCACTTTGTGGCAATTTTTACAATTTTGCACGCTGTCTACAAAGTAACGAGTCTAATGGGTACACTTGCAGATAAATATGATTTAATATGAATGGGAGACTATATTATATATTATCATATTATTATATTATCATCACCTATTATTATTATGCATATTATTTGAAAGAGGAAACTTTAATTTCCCATCTTATAAAATTTATCATTTAAAATTCCTTCATGGCTATTAAGCAGTATATCACTTTTAAGGATGATGCTCCATAAATATAAATGCCTAGTTTTTACTAAGTTATTCTCTTCTAATATGAGGTGAGAAAATGCTCTGTGTTCCAGCAACACCTGGGCGTCTTACTTTTACTTGCAGACGCACTGGTGACATAGTTTATGCGACTGAAATACGAGCTGAGTGCGCTAGAAAAGAACTGATTCTGGCAAAGATTAGAGTCATCGCAGCTGGCTAGCCAGAATTTTGGATGTAAACAATCGAATGTATCGGCCATAAGTCAGGCAAGTGGGGCAAGTAGCTAGTAGCAAGTGGCAAGTGGCGAGATGTTAGTAAGAGCAACTGCCGCCTGACCCGTTAAACTAAATCTAAGAGCCAGCCAAGCGTTGGCGATCGCAAACCAGTTGGCCCGGCCTAAGGAAAGTAGTGAGCAAGAATTGGCATTTGGCGGCGAGACAATCGGGCTAGGATGGCAGCTGCTCTTGGCCAAGTTGTGCATTCAGTTTTCCACTGTCACTGCTGCGGTGCAGTTGTGTTGTAAAAGGCAGAAAAGAAAATATATATAAATATAGAAAATGCAAGCAAACTCGGCAAGATCCTTATCCTGGCACGTCCTGCTTGGACTTTGTCTGTGTCTCATTTTGATTTGCCATTCATCACTTGGCCAAGACTATGTGACTCCTAGCGAAGACTTGAACCCGACCACAGGTCGCAGTCAGACGCCGAATAGTGTGTCATACTTTAGGGCGTCGATTCCCATGCGAATCTATGAGTGCCTGCGAGAACGCACCATGCTGCACTGTACGAAATTGTATGTGCTCCAGAAAATGGAGGAACGCCGTCAGATGCCCAACAGTGGCAACCTGACCAGAGACTTTGTGGATCAGTTCTTTGGTGAGGAGACCCAAATGGGCAGTCTGGTGGGCAAGAAGTATCAGAAGATGTCCGAGAAGGAACTCAATCAGCGACTGGTGGTCAACTTTCAGCGATTCTTTAAGCACCGTGACATCAAGCTGAACTTCCTATCCGGGATGATGTTGCAGATCGTGCCCAGCAAGGACAACAAACTGAAGTTTTCGCTGAAGAAGGGTAGGTTTTTCGTTTAATTTAATGGGCATATATTTGTAATATTTTTCTAAAAACTGAAGTCACCTTGGAAATCTTTTTTAATTATAGTAAAATTTAAAAATCTTTTACTTACGATTATTCTTTAGAAAGAAGTAAGACACTATTGTTTGACCTTTCCATATATTAATATAAAAGAATGAGCATGATCATACATTAGGGGCACATTAATATTCATTCACTTGATTTCTATGCAAACCTATTAATTTACTTTCACACATTTCGATAATACTACATATAATGATGCTTTTCATATAACAAGTTTGGCTACTTTGATATTGAGCGTGGCTTTAATTATCTTCAAATATTCGGCGCATGCATTTAATAATTTATTGCGGGAATTTTGATTAAAGTAATATTGAAAAGGTATAAAGGGCAGCTAGTTACTAGTCTTCAAATAGATGCATTTTTAATAAATTTGTTCACTTTTTAATTCTCTTTTAAAGATCTCAAAGCTGTATACTGTAAGAACGTCTCATCGAAATATTCACAATTTAACATGGCCTTCTTATATTTTTTTAAATCTTTAAAATAACTTCCATTATTGATAGCCTTGAGATCATAACTACTATATCACTTATAGCTCCCAAATCCCGAATGGGACGTTCCCGAAGACGTGAAACGGAGGAGATGGAGCTGAACCTGATGAATCTTCCGTCCATTAGTGGAGGTGGTGCCAATAGTGGCAGTGTAGAGAACTACGAACCGGAAGCGGAGGGTGACTCCAAGCAACAAGGTGCCTTGGGTGGTGGAGGTGGCGTGGCAGGTGGAGATGGCGGCGGCGGAGGAATCCTTGGTAAGCGCAAGAAGAAGAACTCATACAAGGTCACCATGATGCAGGTGGCAGTGCCTATGTTGATTTTCCCAGTCGTCTTGCTGGGCAGCCTGCTGCCCTTCATCCTGCCGGCCCTCAAGATGGCCACCATCTTGTCGCTGGTGATGAACAATGGCGCCTTTATGGCCGCTCTACTGTACGCCGCCCGAACTCAGTTCAACACTCACGAGGAGCAGCATATCAGCTACAGTTAGCTCTCTCGCTAATATCCCTCCTCTGTCCATTTTTCCAATAAAAACTGTCTCCCATGTCATGGTTTTATTTTTCCTAAATCTATGGAACTTTCTTTTTTAAACGAGGTATTTTAAATTAGAAATGCAGTTTTAGCTAAGAATATTTTAAAAATTATTTAGGGCATTGTTATTGAGTTAGTGATTTTTTTACTGATTTTAATACTAAGAGGCCCTACAAGGTTGGAACATATATATAAAAAAGTAATAAGGTATAAGAGTTAATGACCGTTAATAAACATTTTAGTTTATTGCTAGCTTAAAAATAATTACTACAGTAAAGCGATCTTTAAGTTTTGATGGGTTAATGGCACATAATAAATTTTGAAAGCGATAGTTTATCAAGTTTTTAAGAGCTCAAATACAGTATTCATACAGAGATCAGGATGTATATTGCGTTTAAAAGTCTCAATTTATTGATCATGAAATCACCACTATTGTGGGTTGTGATGTTTATATATTGCCCTAGGTAAGTATCATCGAAAATATTATATTTGTATTTTTATTAACCATTAAAAATAAAGTTAGGTAAAGCCACAACAATTATTATTATCCACTTTAAAAACCTATTAAAATAAAAGTCTAAAGAACCATAAGAAAGGTTTAGCATCAGACAAAATAATAAATGCATTTCGATTTAGTTTTTTTTTAGTTTTTTTTAAAATTTTTGTTTTAATTTTCAACAATAGTTGGATTGAAATGTACAGTTTTAGACCTACATAACTAACACAATGTACACACACATAAAAGTCGATGCTTAAAATAGATCTTAGCAGGTACGCTTAATTCTAGAACCTCTTGCGTAAATATACATTTATTAATATAAAAATAGAGATAAAGATAGAGATAGGGAGAGGGTGGCAAATGTGTTCATTATCCCCGAACGACAAGTGCGAGAAAGGGGTTGTGTAGAGCATTAATAAGGTGCACACTTTTCGTTTTTTTGTTTAACACTCTGTTGCTGGGAACGAGTTGCTTTGACTAATCTCGAATAGTTTTCATTTGTTTTGTTGTTTTTGGAATTGAAGCCATTGATATATAAGATATCCTTGCTGCCATCTGATCAGGTCTCACGGTCGTTATCCCCCCTATGTCTTTTATGTTTTTGTTTTTTTTCTTTTCTAGTTTTTGTTTAACAGCCACCACTTAAATGCGCAGGCAGTATGGAGGATAGGCAATTAATATAATTAAATACTGCAGACCCGATGTGGCAGCAAGAAGTGTGTTCGTTTGGATGAACTTCCACTGACCCCCACTCTCTAATCCAGCTTGCACTCGGACTCCTTGTTCACCACGTTGGCTCCCTTGCGGTCCTCCTCGCTGATGTCTTTGTCGTCCCATCCCCAGATGGCGTGCTCCTCTTTCTCGTGATCCAGATGGGCCACCAGTTCGCTAGTTGGGATGGGACTGTTGTTGTTGGCATCCAGCAGGGCGGCAATGTGGGAGCCATCGCCAGTGCGGAGGACTCGCTTGTAGACCATCTCCTGGGACACGAACTTCAGGTCATAGGCTTGTCCTGTGGGAAGGAAAAATTTAATATTTAGTTACAAATTAAGGGACATTGACAAAAGGAGTTGCTTGCTGATTTTACTTACCAATCTTAGCCATCACATCGATAAAGGCCGTCGTCCAGTTGAAGCTGTAGGTTCCCAACTCAGCTGCTTTGTAGTCCCAGGGGAAGACGTGGTGGTAGTTGTGCCATCCCTCACCAATGGTCAGAGTGGACACCACTTTGTTGTTCATGGCACTCACGTTGACATCGTAGGGCTTCATGCCGTAGAAATGGGCGGCGCTGTTCACCAACCAGGTGAAGTGGAGCGACAGGCAAAAACGGAGCATGGAGCAGGTGAAGAAGCAAACGCGCAGAGAGCTGCCCATAACATAGTAGGGGAAGATCATGGGGAGGGCGAAGCAGCAGATGGGCATTACAACAAAGTACATTCTGTAAAAAAAGTCAATTAATACATTTTAATAAAGAAATATAGGCAAAAGTTAAAACAATTTGAGGGAAGAAGAGTCTATCATTTAGAACTGTATATATATTGCCTACTTTTAGGCATCAAAATTATTTATTCAAGATAAATTCCTTTGGGAAACTTCAACCTTCTGGAATTTGCTGCTTTAAGTTGAGAACTGTTTATCACTCCTGATACTCACTTCTTCTGGAACATAACAACGGGATCCTGCTCAATGTCCTCCATGGAGATCTGTTTTCCCTTGCTGGTCACATCGGGGTGCTTCTTGCACATCAACCATCCCATGTGGGCGAAGAAGAAGCCACGACGGGAGTTGTGGGGATCGGCGTGTGTGTCGGTGAACTTGTGGTGCACACGATGGTCACGGGTCCACTCCCAAATGCTGTTCTGGAAGGCCAGCGATTGGCACAGCATGAGGAAGATACGCAGGGGCAGCTTAGCCTTGTAGGCCTTGTGCGACCACAGACGATGGACTCCGGCAGTGATTCCCAATCCTCCCAAGAACATGGTGACATAAACTGAAAAACAAAATAAGTTACAATGTAAATAAAGTGACTAAGAGGCTCAGAGATTAGAAAACTCACCAGGCAAGAGCTCCAAGTAGGCGTTCTCGGCGAATACCAGGTACAGACCGTACAGAGCCATCGAATGGAGGATGATGAAGAGTCCAACGTTACGCCACACGATCTCCAGTTCGTAGGGCTTGTTTTCCGGCGTTTTCGTCTCTGTCTTCTTGGCGACCTTCTGGCTGGGCGTGGCTGCTGGAGCGGCAGAAGCGGCGGGTGTGGAAGCCATCTTGTTGTTATTACCATCGGCAATTGCCGTCTCGGCCAATATAAAAGTACTGCCTATTATGTTGGGCGACATCTGCAAATGTTACCGGAAATATATATATATATGTTTAGCAATTAGTTAACCAATTGGTATTCAAAAGTTTTCTTCCTGATTTATGGCCTGTCGTACGGTATGCCTTTGTCGTCTAGATTATGTGGAGCCCACAGAGATGCAAATCAATCAGTGGATACTGTGTACTGGGTGCTCCTCTATGACAGTGCTTTTCCCTCATTCATATGCAGGACAGGCTACTACGACTCTATGGCACTATGGCTTCTCCATATGGAAGGCATCACTACCCAGCTGCACGACTAATTATGGACCACAATTGAGGTGAGTGCCGAGCGGCGACCTTCGCCAGTTGGCAGGCCAGCTTCAATGATACTCAAAACTGATACAAAGATAGCAAGCCGGAAGCGCAAAATGAGAATTCCGAATAAAACGAAATCCGAAACCCAAGCCAAGCCAAGAAATCAAAGCAACAAAATCCCCGCAGAAAACAAAAAACAATCAATAATTTTTGTTTTATGTTGTACACGACCAATGAAATATTTGCATATCTATTCTTTACAAGCCCAGGCGAGTCTATCAAAATGTTTGGCAGCTTTTGAAAACCAGAAAAGGTTGTTCAAGAACCCTAAAACTTGTAGCCTAAAAATAAAGCAAATTATTAATGAAAAATTCTTGGAATCTGAACTTTGTTGATCATGACGAAATTATTCGTTAAAGGCTTGAAATCAAAATGGAAAGTCTAATGGAAAATGGTGGAAAATTCTTAGACATCAGCCTATTGCTAAAAGGTTGAACAAAGTCATTGGCGATTTAGGTAGACCATTGCGAATTTGAATAACTTTGTTAATTATGCAGAGCTGAATTAATTCATGAGCATGGGGCTAGGTCAGAAAGTTCAGTGCGACACATTGCGTATACGCCTAGAGGGTCCATTTAATGGCACCACAAACAATGCACTTTGAAGCCATGCAATTTATGTGTTTCTGTCTATAGGATAATTGACGCTTGTACTGGTGCCGTGCTGTGGCATCGTCACCCGAAGTTGGCAATAAAAATAAGTTGGCCAAATGGCTGATCTTCAACTCTCTAGAATAGATATATCAGACAACCGGTTGACCTCAAAGTGGTTGCATGTCTCGTATTGATTCAAAACAAAAGTATTCTTACTGGCTGGCTTTGTGCATAGATTTGAAGGCATTAACTGGCTGCGGTTCAATGTCAAGTCGTGTGTTTTGAATATTATTCGCCTGCTTAATTCAGGCTTTCGTACTAGGGTGGCCTTTGGCCCTGGACGATATGTAAACCATTGGAAATTAGAGCTACTATTAGGTGGCAATTCGTTATCAGGTATCCGGGAATGTAATTGAATAAACGATACAACTTAATATCATGCAGGTGCCACGCGTTGTCTGAATTAAACTAGTTTTGGCGCGGGTCTTCTTCTTTTAGATTGAAGATCCAATACTTGGATGAGTATTCATCCTTACCGGAATATTAGCATAGTTAAGTAACCAAGATAAATTTATGTATAGAACTGCTTTTGTTTCGAGTTCTCCGCCGCCGAATCAAGGTTGGTGTTGCCAACGAGTTTTTATTCGAGGGGTTTTTGGGTTTTGGGTTTGGTTCTGGGTTTCTTTAACCGACCACGTCACTGATCGATCAGTCAGCGGAGTAATAAATATAATGCGAAAGCGTATAGTTATGGCACCTGACTCAAATCTAATGCGGGTTTTGTGATTGATACCACGGTAGGAGCTCTCCATTGATCGACTCGAGCAGCGCACGCAGTTGGCGTCGCTATTCGCATACCAAATATCGCTGGGATATGGGATGGAACCCAGAACCGAGAATCGAGAAACTGGGAACGTGACTTTGGTCTGGTCAGTACGATTCTCCGGCTTTCCATCTAAACAGATCCCCAAACGGACTTAATATGCTTATGGCCACATTATGCGTGGCATCCATACTCATTATAAATCTTACTTTGACGCATTCGCAATTAGCGAGTTCGGCTGAGAGCAAAGAGATTCGATTCGAAACTATGGATTTTCATTCATTTTTATTTAAGGCTAGCATAATTTTTTAGAATTATGAGGGTTACGTGAGGCGTCCCTAGCTACTATTTGGGGTGTTGCGTCAGACGCTCTATAAAAAATTCTTTTCATAATTATATTTTACTGCTCGATGGAATGCTATTTCCTAGAGGTGAATCACATGCTCGATTGGCCATTGAAGTGCGGTGGATCGATGTTGAAATTCGGCACAAAACTTTTACGATGGGCAATCGAAATTGCTTTTGCTTCCGGTTTGCCCTGGCTTCCGTAAAAGCCAAAGAAATACAGGTTCTTTGGTTTTTATAAAGCAAAGATTCCCATACATTTTTCTGGCTAACTCACACTTACCTTTAAGGATTTAGTTGGCAAACAAAAACGTTGAAATTCCAAGTAGAACACTCAAAATCCGCTGAGTCGGGGTTCGGTCTCACAAAAAACACAAAATCACTGTTTCCACACGAAGTTCGTTTCGAATCGCCTCGATAAGGACGATTCCTTGTTATTTTGTTAGTTTATTATAATATTTTCCGCTTTTTGAAGCCACTACACACGGCACGTCCACGAGGCGCGATGAATGCACGGCGTATGAGGGATCGGAGCAACTGGCAGTGCTTTTTAAGCGCCTAGTTCAAAGAATTCGCACAGAGGTACCGCGTTCGATCGTTAGACGCTGAGACTTTGAGACGCTGATCGAGTTGAGAGAGCAGGCGGATGGATACAGTGCCTCAAAAGTTAACCAACACCGAAATTTAAAGCCGTCTCTTTGCGGCTACGACGCTTCTGCCGCTGCTTCGGTTCTGGCGACGATCGCCTCGTATTGGATCGTTTCAGATCGTATTGGATCGGGGTCGCTTATGCTATATCTTATCCATGTATGCGTTACCATAATATTCGGCGCGTGGCTGTTAGGGAACTTCGTTTTCAGACTAGTCTGGCCAATCGGTTTGCAAAGAATATCCAGATCACTTGCACTTTTCACAGAAAATTAAATAATCTCTTTGGTAAATCCCCTGGCTAAACATATCTTTAAATAACCCCGGTCACGTACTACATGGAACCGCAAGATTTCGCCTAAATTGTTTTCTGTTTTTTTTTTTTTTTGGATCATCGCCGGTCAAGTGGTTTAAAATAAACTATCGGTCAAGTGTTAGCTGGTCACGTCGATCGGTGATTTCTTTTTGATTTTCTCATCTTTTTTTTGGGATTTGTACTGCCTGCTAATGAAGAGCTTGGGAAACATGTTTTCGAATTTCGAAACATTATATAACGTTCTTAATTCACTACGGATCTGGGCCATATATAATGCGATGTATGTCAGATGCCAAACGGTTAACCAGTTTGCCACCTCAACCTTGTCGCCATATGCATATTCAGATATATTTTGACGAACTGGTCACAGATTCTAATTGGTTTCTTCGGTTGTTTTCAGACATAGTATTTTCCTGCCGCATGGCCAACATTTAATTGTTGTTTAGTCCGTCTAAATATTTGGCTAGCCAACCCATGAAATGGGCCAATAATTGCCCGATTCTTTTGGTTGTTTTGTTTTTTTTTTGAAGAGGCAACAGGGCAAATAGCAATTACCGCATCGTGGGCCAAGAAAAAGAGGTCGAAAAAAATGCGTTTGTTGACAGTTTTCGCTTTGTTGCGGTTTCTGATAATTGCCGGGTTTTGACACCAACGCCCCAAAAAGTCTCAAATGAGCTGTGTCTAATTTTGTTTAGTGGCGGCCACTAAAATTGTTTGCCATTTGCCGGCACATATGGTGTCAAAAACCCCTCGGCGAACCGAAGGTTTTCTTGGCCACTAAGGTCAAATGTGATGCATCTTGCAGCCTGAAATTGCATAGTGGTTACACTCAGTGGGTTAAATAGCGCCGGGTTAACCGGTTTGCCATCACGTTTCCAGTGATTCCCAGCCCAGTTGGCCTGCAATCGCACTACTCTCAATAAACGAAAAAAATAAACAAACAAGCCACGATTTTATGGCTTTCGATTTCAATCAGCATAATTCCAGAGTTTATTTCCAACACGTGCCTACTAAAGGGTCATTAAATCGCTATGTTTAAGTGTCAATTTGTGAATGAAAATAATATTTACAGTAATAACTAACAGGCAAAAGTGTATCAATTACTTAAAAGCAATTTAAATAGTGAACGGGCTGTGTACATATGTTTTTCCACAAATTCCAAAAAACAATTTGAAAACAATAAACATTTATGTCTTCACACGAGACTCAAAATTAAAGATAATAATTACTTTGAGTAAAAACATTTCCTGCTTAAAAACTCACAGCTTAAGGCCGTATAATTTTGAAGTTGTAAATATGAAAAATTTATGTTTTCAAATCATTTAACTAAAATATTACAAAATGCCTAAGCATCAACAAATGACTTACGGCATTTGGAAAATATTAAAATTAAATGAAGCCATATTCATAAATAACTTATATACTGCCTAAAAATTGTTATTATTCCTAATTACTTTTAGGTAAAGATAAGCACATTTTAGCTTATAAACTAAGTTGTAAACAATAAATATAAATCCGTCTTTTTCCATAGATCAACAAAGGAAAGTTCCCTCAGCGGAAAATAAATATTTATTTGCATGAGCAACAGTCGCTACTCCAGATTAATTTATTCTCTGTGGAGGGGTAAGAACACAAAATTAGTGAAATGACTAATAACAGTAACTAGAATATGACAGGTTCTCAGAATCGCTAGCCACTGTGCACAAAATGCACTTGTGAAAAAATGCAAAGTCAAGTACCAAATTGCAACCGAACTCCCTCAAATAACATGAAGCCTTCCTCAATAAATTGAAGAAAAAAACTACAAATTGTCTAAATGACTGTCATTGTGGATTGTGGTTAAAACTCATACGAATGTGACTGGCAAAATGGCATCAAAGTAGCATCTCGAAATTGGACAGGGAATTGTATGATGGCGTTGGGTCGTGAGTTAGCCAAGGTCGTCTGGTGTTCTTGAGTTCTTGGCAAGTTCTTGAGTGGCTAAAATTGCACAATTAAGTGGTAAGTAACTATACTTGTTGTGGCAGCCAGGTTGGCCCATCTTAACCTGGCCCTAACCTTTGGGGCATGACCAAGGCAACTTGGCATTAACTTAAATTAAATGAAATTTCACTTCTGAGCCAACAACATACTTTGAAAGTGATGCGATGCCCGAACTAATTGCAGCTAATTGATATGCATACGCTGTCATCTGTTGCGAAAACACTGCTCAAATGACGCAGCTCCTCCGGTTACAAATTGGTCGAAACCCAGAGTTATATGCGTTTTCAAGTGCAAAGTGCGTGAAAAATCCGAATCAGTCCTCCAGGTGCCGGCGATCGCTTTAACCAAATATTTATGCAAATTTCAAATTTGCCGCAGGAAGAGCACAATGTCACGTCAACACACGACGCCTCAAATGTGCCATGAAAAATAATAACAAAATCAAACAAAAGCCTCATTACATATCCGCACCTATTTGTAGATACGAGTATACTCGTCCAAAATTATAGGTAAAGAAACTTATATTATGCCATTTAATTCATTTAAAAAAGTAATTACCAAAGAAAGATCTATATGGAAAAAGAAAACACTAAAACCATTGCTTAAAATTAAGGGTTAAGAATAACTACTTATATACTTCAAAGAGTTCTTGATACAATAAAACAAAAGATATGTTCCATACTATATAATATGAAAATTAAGAACTAAATTCTGTCATATAGAGTAATATATTATTTTTCAAAGATCAGAATATATACTCGTATATAAGAAGAATATTCTGTTCTATTCTTCTTATAATTTTTTTGTTCTGTGTAGATATAGAAACAAATCGGATAAGGAGAACAACCTAAATGGATCTCCAGGGCGACGCGGCATAGGACTTTGCAATACCGATCTCATTGTCACTTGTCACCGAGCGATCAGCGAAATCTGCATAATTATATGTTAATACTTTTTTTTCTCGTTTTTATTTGTTTTTTCGGAATACATTTCTTTCAGCCACACGCTTCTGCCAAATCTATTGGCCGAATGCCGTTGGCCGCTTTGCAATTCTCAGGCCGATTCATCGTTTGGCCAATTTATCAAACATTGCTTTTACGACTTCGAGGTGTTTGTCAGGCTGCGTACAACCCAAATCCATTAGGGTTTAGCACAAGATCATAAACCTGTACCCCTATTTTTAGACTATTCTTTCGGCCAAACAGACCCACGCCCATTCAACTGAATTCTCGTGGCTGGCACGTTTGGTTGTTGGGAGTTTTATTGGTGAATATTGTTGAATTTAATGAATAATTCTATTAATTTGATTAGCCTTGAATATTTGATGCAGGAGGTAGTAAAAATATTATTTTTTAATACTTAATTAAAGAAAACCGAAAAATCTTTACAGATGCAATCAATAGATAGAAGTTAAATCTTGTACTTATCCAATCATAAAATATAAGAAATTATCTATAGAATTTTTGTATAATAATCCATCAGCCTTGTCATTAAACAAAATATCCCTGAAGAAGTTTTTAACTGTTTTATAAAAACGTAAACAAATCTTTTGACTCATTAAGATTTGTTAACAGAAAAGAGATAAAAGTGAAAAACCCCAGGCAAAAGCATAAACAACTTGGGAAGTCCAAAGGGCATTGGCCATTCGATTGACAGAATTGAAGAATATGCCAAGCTAAACATTGATAAGCCATAAAACTGAAGTCAGAAATTAGCAAATTAATCACGTGCCCTTAACTTTTTCTGCCCGCCCACGCCCGAAATTTTTCGGTTTTCTATTTTGGCACAATAGCATTTCCGTACACTCCGGGCCACAGAATCTGGTTGGACCCTGGGGGGAAGTTGGCTTTTGGCTGGCTTAAAGAACTCGTCACCAAGTGCTCGGTTCTTTTCATTAACAAGTCGATCATGATCAGCATCGAGAAGGGGCCGAGAGCCTGCTTAGAATTCTGGAGGAGATCGCAAACCTGATTGGGGTTTTAAAATGCCTTTTGGCCTGTCCAGCAGATTTATATACATTTTTTGGGTTTCTATTCTTGAAAATTTTTTGCTAGTGTGTAAATGGATTTGCATAAATATGCATGTGCTTTCAAGCATAAGTTACCGACTTATATATATGTATCTTCCCGACCCAATAGAAGTCGCCATTTGGCCCTTATTTAATTTCGATCTTGAAGTGAAACCAGTCGGGCGACTCCATAAACCGGGGGCAGCTCATTTAACACCCATCTAGCCAGCGATATCAGTCAAGGCGAAAATAAATATAAATACTGCCTAGAGATATGCGTCATAAACTTAATCAAGAACTTTTTGTGACCGAGAGACAAGAGATGTCATGATTAAACAGACATCAAATTTGAAAATTAAGGAAATACGATTTAGGACTAGATCTGCAAATAGTTGAGAACGTGGCTTACAGAACCAAGCTAGTTGGTAAAATCTCTCAAATGCTAATAACAATTTATTTATCTAAAGATCAAGTTGCGGGAAATTGCTAGAGGTGGTCAGAACAAGTTTTTGGCCAACACGAGACCCAGGCCAAAAGCTGATCTCACAGGGTATAAATATAAACATTGGAATCCAAAAAGAATGAATTATACTCGCTTCCAGATTTCGATTTACATTTAACCTCGTGACCCTTGATTTCATATAGACAAGGTTATTGGTTCCCTATTACTTATATATTATTTATCAAATCTATTCTAAAGTCTTAAAATGATTTGAAAATCCCCCGCCTCATTACACATTACGTTACCGGTGGATTTTTGGCCAGACTTCCGCCTCGAACTCTTCCGCATAAATGTAACAGTAAACAAGTTGGGGACCGGACCTCCGAAGAGTTCGAACAGCCCCAAGAGACCCCAGCAATTAAAATATGTAAATGGAAACAAAGCCAAACAAAAAAGGCCAATGCTGCGCGAAAAAACGACGCCAACGAATAATCGACGCTAACCTCGCGTTTGGCTTTGCTGCAAATGAAGAGATGAAGTCGAGACCGCATTGGAGCTATGACGGCAAAGAAAGACACGGTAATACTTCGAATACCCTCTCTACAAGACTTTAGATTCGACGGGTTTATATACCTATTCTAGTGATTTTACGGAAATCTCTAGTAACTATAAAAAATCTTAGAAATTATATAATAACATTGGTTTTTTTCTAGATATTTACAAAATTCAAACTTTTTCAATCTATATATTTTCAAATATCTCGAAATTTCTATGGCATCTTAGGTCAATAAATCTAGTTTGGTTATCATTAACATTAACATTTATAATTACACAAAAACATATTTGATATATTTACAAGATTTAAAACTACTAAGCGTTTAAATTAATTTACTTCTGATATTTTATATACGAATTATAACAACTCTTATAAAGTAGACAAAAACTTAACGGAGTGCTTTTTGTGAATTATGGAAACTTTAGACTTCAAACAAATACATGCATATACTCAAACACACGTTAAATGTGGTGACTAAATTATTTAAAATATATTTATAATGATTATTCATTGGTCAAGTAGGTTTGGGTATACAACATTATTGAACAGTTTGAAAAATATATATTAAAAATGTTTAATTTGTAACCCTACAAAACGCCACATAAATATCATAACACCTTTCCGCAAAGAGCACTGAAAAAGTGAACCCCGAAATGGATTTGCTGTCTCAGTTTCATCTTCAGCTGGCTGATTAAACATCAGGAAATACAAAATGCTAAGCAGGCAAAAGCAAATTGTAACAGGGCCCAAACTCAAACGAGTTCTCAGGCCAAAGGCAAAAAGCTAATATTGAAGTCGAAACTGAAGCTATTGATAAGCGGCTAAAACTCGTTCGCATTTCGGCAGATTTTTTTTTTTTTTTGGGGAGCTTTTAAAGGTGAGGAGAAATAGAGGAGGGTTATAGCCAAATAGCCCCATTGACTGATTATTGTTATTAATTCGAATGCGGCGGTGTCTTGCTGGTTTTTTGCCATTTGCATTGACATTGACTTTGACCGAGAAATTATAAATCGAAGCCAATGTGACGCATACGTGCGATATCTGGTTGCGTTTATGCGGCAAGCTTATGCAAATGCAATAAAAATACTGCACTTTATGGCTTTCATTCGGTTATCATATTAGCATGCAGCAAAGTCTTGCATTTATATTTTGTGTCTGAAGAATATTTAACCAAAAAAAAAAAAGGATGGAAGTACTTGAGCTCGTAATTGTTACCTTGGACACACTAGCATGGTCACTGAACCACCGAGATACCTACTAACCCACCAACTAAGTAACCAACCCATCCACCCACCGCAGACATTCGACATTCAGTCTTTGGGTCAAAGCCAACGATCGTTCAAGTTCAAGCCCCAAAGAGATTAGAAAAAATTACTCAAGACTAGATCAAAAAACGACATTGACCGGCATGTCATGGCACTCCGGCACACCGGCACACAATCAAAAATAGAAAACTTTAGTGGCCATTAGTTTATTTGCAATTTTTAAAGCATGCCAAAGGGGCAAAAACTTCTGCTGTTCGATACGATCCGATCTTCGAGATCTTCGCATTTCGTTATTGTCTCTTCTATTTCCTGGTTGGATCTGCTTCGCTACCGACGACTTGGCACTATCATGAATTAATTGTTGCATATTATAGCGACAAGCATTGACCTCAATAGAGGGATTTGATAAACACTGCATACATGAAGCAGAACGCATAAATAGATGCGAATTTAAAGCTAATAACTTTTGCTTGGATTATTTCTCTAATGGGATTCATATATGCTCATTAAAAGCCGAACTCGGTACAAGACCAAAGTCAAGCTTCATCAAGTCATACATACATTATACATCATTTATATACAGATGTCACAGTATTAAGGAACCTAAAGGTTTATGATCACAAAGCTTGACTGTATAAACAAGTGTATTATGACCTGCTTGCACATTCATCTATTTATTCTTCTCTAAATACTTATGGATACAATTTTTTTAAATATGATGATTCAGCACCAAACGTAATTAATGATATATTCCATTTAGTTGTAGGTGGCAAGGTTCTGGTTCAATCTAAGCCAATCTATAAGTGTTTACCACAATAATAGAATTAAATTCTTCAAATTAAGTTTATTTAAAAGAAGCAGGTTTTGTACTCCCCCTCAAAGTATTTCATCTTGCTGTCGTGGATAGTCTAAGGTGATCCCGAATCTTCTTTAAATATTTTCTTTACATAAAAGTAATTAAATATATACAGTTAAGAATGCCACTTTACAGCACAATTTACAAAATTATTATATGAGTGAAGGCATTATTATAATAATATGATTAAGAAGTTTTAACAGCAGTAGAAATTTGTATTATCTTTTCCCGAATTTATTTCTAATGAGATCTGAATGAATACCTTTTGATCTATATACAATTTATTACAATCAAAAATAGCCTTGACCTTTATAACCTTGAAATTCAAATACTGGATAAATTTAAAATTAAAATCCGTTATTTTACGGTATTTTTGCAAACCTATAACGACTGTTTTAGTATATTAACATATGCAGCAGTGGGTGGTATATTCCAACGGCCAATCAGCGGTCACACTGAAGCACTGTTATCTCTTGGCATTGAATCCACTTTCTTCGGCAAAAACCCCATTGTTTATTGTTCCATTTACCGCCTTACACTCATCCCTCCTTCAGGGTTGACATGGAAACGAAGCGGATGACCGCCTGCATTTAGTGACCAGCCAGCGACGAGCGATGACCGTTTGGGGCATAGAAGCCATTACACTGAACTACGGCTCGTCGGCAAAGGAAAGTGGGGATTACCTACCGGGAAAAGGTGAAATACTGGTGATTCCCGAAGCGGGAGCAATGAATTCCGTGGAGCGCTATCGACAGGAGTGGCAGCAGCTGCTGGAAAATCTCGATGCCGAACCAGAAAGACTTCGGCAATCAGCATTTGCCGGGGACCTAAAGATGTCGAAATTTCGGAGCGTTCACTGGGCCCTTCTCTTGCGTGTCCTAACCTCGGAGCACCGGAGCTGGGTGAGTCAGCGTCTCCAGCAGAGAGTGAGGTATGACAAGTTCCGGGCTGATTACGTCCGGAATCCCCATCAACTTGCTGTAGACTGCAACGATGATCCGCTGTCCCAGTCCACGCAAAGCGTTTGGAATCAGTACTTCAGCGACCAGGAGCTCTTCGCCGTCATTCGCCAGGATGTGGTGCGCACCTTTCCGGGCGTAGACTTCTTTCGGAAGCCTCTGGTCCAGAACGCCATGGTCAACATACTTTTCTACTATGCAAGGGAGCACCCCTACATGTGCTACCGTCAGGGAATGCACGAGATCCTGGCGCCCATAATTTTCGTGGTTTACAGCGATCACCAATCGCTTCTGCATTTCAGCGAGCTGGCCAAGACGGATATCAATCCAACACTGCTTGACGTCCTTGATCCAGCTTATCTAGAGGCAGATACGTAGTATGTATTAAGTGTAATGTTTAACCTCCATATGTAAACATTTGCGTCGCTTACAGTTCTTTGTTCTCCCGCCTCATGGCCTCCGTAGAGTCGTACTATCGCGTCTCAAATCTGGTCTCCACACCCGGTGGCCATATCGAACAGCGAGCCGAGGTGCGTCGCAGTTTGTGGTTGCAGCAACCAGCCCTTATCGCTAACCATTCCTCTTTCAGAGCCCCGGGGATAATGAGAGGCCGGCAGAGGCGGAGGTTATCGGCCAGCTGAACTTCATACGGGACAAAATACTCGCCAAGCAGGACCAGCACTTGCATCACTATCTTCAAAAAATGGAAATTCCACTGCACATATTTGGCATGTAAGTGGATTATGGGCAAATAATGGGTATATGTATCAGAAAAAGTTAGTTTAATATTAAAATATTTTAAACCCTGTTTACTTATATGATAAAGTGATATTCTCTCTTATAAACTACAGCCGATGGCTACGACTTCTCTTTGGACGGGAGTTCATGCTATTGGACCTGTTGCTGCTGTGGGATGCCATCTTCGCGGACAGCGATCGATTCGACCTGCCGAACTACATTTTGGTGGCCATGCTGGTGCACATTCGTGATAAGTGTGAGTAATCCCATCTGGTGCTTCCCGCTCTGAACTTAGGCATAACGAATTCTGATTTCAGTGCTTCTAAGCGATTACACCACATCGTTGACGTATCTAATGCGCTATCCGGGCAATGTGGACGTTCATCTGGTGCTGCGACATGCCTTATTTATGCTTAACCCCAAGCAATTCGAGTATCCCTCGAACGCTTTCACTTGTGTTTCATTCACCGACAACAAGGAAATGCCTCCCCCTGTCAATCAACGCCCGCGCACTTTCTCTGACACCTCCGCTATGGCCACTGGTAGCAGTCAGATGGATCGGCAGATCACCTATATGCAGGAGCGCAATGCTGCTGATTCTTCGGCTCTGGCCAAACTACAAGATACCCATCGCGTGGCCATGGATGGATATTTAGAGAATGTGAGTGGAATCAAATAAAAATAATGAGTCTTCAGGATAGGCTTCAGTTAGTAAGCTCCATTTTATGTAAGCATTTTTATATAAGTACATAGTTTTGAAAGTTCTAATATTAGATAAAACTTTAGGTGACGTTTATATTTCTATCCAATTATAAAACAAAAATGTTGAAGGCTTTTAGCTCCATGTAAAATTTATAATTGTTCAGGAATATGGATGTCCGAATTTTGTTATTTTGTTTTAATTTTCCTAAAATATTAATGCCTATGAAAAAACAGTGACCAATATGTAAAAAAAAAATGGGCTATTCAATGACAATCTTCCTCTTTGCCTCCTTTAGAGTCCCGAGCTACTCCGACTGGAGCTGAAGAATGCCCAAACTGTTATCAAGATAGCGAGAAGCAAGTTGCAGAATTATCTGAGCACTGTACGGCATCACGTTGGAAAGCAAGCTAATGGGAACGAGGAGCTCAGTCGAACGCTCGACGGAATCGAGGAGCTGTGCAGCTTTCTCGATGTTAAGTTCATGTTCCCGCTACATGCCCGATCAGCTCCTATCGACCAGGCTTTGGAAGCCAATGAGCAGAAACAGCTGAACACAATTAGTATACCACCAAAGGCAACGCCTGTTTCCACTCCTGCTACTGCACCTGTTGCGCCCGCTGCAACCGGCAACTACCAGATGCCCGAGAATGCCTTTATGCACAGTTCTATGCGACGGCTCCTTGGAGAACTGCGAGAAATCGAGCTATCCACGATAACGAGCGACGAGAAGCCTGGCGCTGCGGTGCTCCAAAATGGATTGCCAGCTGCGGAGCCCCAACAGCGGCATCATAAAGAATTGAGTTGATCACAAGATCCACTCCTAACGACTGAACTTGAATTTAGACTTAAACAGAAAAGAACCACAAAGTGGCTAAATCGGGATATTTGAAGAATTAAACTAAATTAAATTAAAAGACAGAAATTAGATATATTTCGGACTTGGGTAAGTCTGTAAGTCTAGTAAGTCAAATTCTTGAACAAAAAAAAAAAACTATATTACTATACTGGTAGAGGAATGGTTCCAAACCGGACGTCTTCAAAACAAAATTCAAAGCTTCTGAAAGAAACAGGTTCTGGTCTTATGGGGTCAGAACAGAAAGTTTTCTATATAGCCATAAAAGAACACGTTTGTCCTTGTACCTCAACCGGATGGATTAATCTTAACTAGGTTTAATTACCTTGCTTGCAAGTATTCAACTTTAACATACAAAAATTATCTGAATTAGGCGAAGATAAATAATGACAATGACAAAAACTAATGCTAAGGATGATTCATACTTCTAAGGAGCTCTATGGCCTACGGTTGAGGCTCAATAATGACCGAAATGTTGTCATCTGACCACTGTTGCCGTTGGGAACAGGAACACCCCGTATTATTGGTGTCGATGTCAAACTCGGTTGTGGGTGAATTTGTGGCTGTTGTACTGGCGCCTTCGTAATCGTGATCGTCTTGGAACTGTTGTTGTTGTTTACCCGTATCTGTCGGAGCATGGCCAGAGAATTGCCATTGCTAACATCCACCTGAGGAGTGGTTGGTGAAACCAGGGAGCCACTTTGGTTGGGTTGGGCGATACCGTTGATACGCGCCTGTGTTGTTAGCTTATCAAGCGGTACACAACGCACGGCTTCATTATCGTAGCGGTTGGTAACTTGCATTTGAGACGAACTTAAGATCCGTCGTATGTTTTCTGGCAGATCTTTGGGGTTCCCGTTGATGGTTACTTGGGTAGCTGAAACAGAGCTAGCTGGCTTGTTTTTCATGGTTTCCACCTCGTTGTTATTGTTTTGCAGATTACTGTCATCGTCTTGTATGGTGATTACATTGGAATGCACAACTTCATCTGCAGAAGCAAGAGCCGGAGGAGTGGTATCTGAAGGAATTGTAACTGGGGGATTAGTAACAATGGGATTTGTAACTGAGGGAGTTACAACTGTTGGAGTTGTAACTTGAGCAGGCTGAGCTGGAGCAGCTACACCAGTAGCTGCAGAAGACGTTGTGGAAGAAGCTGCGACGGCAGCTGTGTCTGCAGTTGGCAAATTCCTTTGCATGGCTCGCACCTCCAAACCACACACGAGCTGCATGATTTTGGCTTTGCCTTCTGCGGCTAAGTCAGCCGGCAGAGCCTTCATGGTTGGGGCAATACTGTCAAAGAAGAGATCCATTATATGTCGAGGCTCCGGAGGACTGACTGGTGCCACAGCCACTGCTGCCGGCGCCTGCGCCAAGGACTCGTTGTGGGCGACCGCTTCCCGCTCTAGTGTTCGCAGGCGCGAGACAATATCGAAGGAGGAGCAAATCATATCTTTGGCCATGTCCATCTGAGAGCGCTCATCCTGGCGTTTGCCTATCGATTCGCGCAGGGCACGAATTATGCGACGAACCTCCATTGTGCGGCGGGATCTCTTTGCTGCTGGTTCTTCCATGCTGCCATCGGATCTGTAAAGATAAAAGAAGTATTAATTAAGAAATGGTAATTCATTTTAAGTAAAAGAGTAATTCTCACCTAGCACTCATTTCAGCGTCGCTCTCTTTCTCCAGGCCAGACTCATGTCTCTCCGCCTCGGCTGTGGATGTGTTGCTAACGGACGGTACATCAGCGGCTGGTGCGGTATTTGCTTTGTGCCGTTCTAGACTATCGGCGTGCTTACGCGAAGAGTCGTGTTGGCGTAAATAAAAGACCTTGATCGGCAGCCGTGTATCGCAAAAACGGCAGTGGCAGTGGTTCTCATCAGTAGCATCCGGTTCCAGCCAACTATACTTGGCCTGCAGCTCGGCCATGGCCGCCTTCTGTCGCGCCTCGCCACTGGCCAATGCCGAAGCCGTGGCCACAACGGTGGGGATTTCAGTTCCACTTGGCGATGTTTGCCCATTATTGCGCTTCCGATCGATTCGGAGACGAATATGCCGGGAAGTTCTCTGATGCTTAGAAGCCCACTTGGAGGACGGCAGGTAGAGAGACACCTCACATAGCTTACACCAGGCATAGTTCCCACGCTGCTCGCTCTTTTTGTACGATAGCCAAGGGAAGCGGCCCTTCCACACCATTACTTTGCCTTTCATGGTTGCCGGAACGGGCTTGAAAAGTTTGTTGGACGATCGTTCCGGTTTCCTTGACTCCAGAGTGCCCGAATCCGTATTGCTCTCCATATCCAAGTCATCCTCTTCTCCTTCTTCCTCGTCTTCGTTTTTCTGCTGATTATTTCTTGTCTTCTTAAGTTCGCCCTGGGTCTCTTTTGCTTGTTGTTCCTTGAACTGCTTCATAAGTCTTAAATGCGTGACACTTAACTCGTGCCGCGCCTTTGCCGCTTCGTTGTGGAAGCGTACGCGGCAAACTTTACAAATTTGGGTCTTGCGGTCCTTGGAGTTGCACAGCCACGGATAAAAACGCACTCCGGCTCGGACTTTGGCCTTTCTTGGTTCGATCTCCGATTTGACAGTGAATCTAAAATAGATTCATGATTATGATAAGTAATATTGCTTTAATGTAATGCATTAAAAAATTGCCTACCCTTTTCCAACATTTTGAGTCTCCGACCAATTGTCATCGTCATTATCTTCTTCACTCTCCGATCGTAGTTCTGATTGGGTTCGCTCACTAGCAGGCGCCTCCTCCCCTTCAACCACTTCCTGACAAGCCTCCTCGCCTACATCTACATACTCTCCCTCGCTGTTTCGGACGTTAGCCAATCGTTCTTTGCTGGCTGCTTTCGCGGCGGCCACTGCCGCTGTGTGCTTCTCGGAGTTCTCGTGATTCTTACGCTTGATTTCAGAGTTTCCATACATGAACCGCTTGCGGCAGATGTTACAGTATCCAATACTGGGGTCTTCTGGATCGGCTATCAACCAAGGATGCAAATCGGCGAACACGGCCCAAATACCACGAATATCTGGAGTACTAAAGCGCACAATTTAGTTCATTTCATTTAAAATAAATAAAGAAAAATTCCCAAATAAGTTTACTTATATCTTTCAGGGCAATACCTACTTCTTTTCGGTGGCTGTCAAAAGCTTATTGCTATGTGGTTTACCCTTGCAGTGCCGTAGATAGCTGGTAATGGACATCACGTAGTCACAGAGCGTACACCTGCACTGCTGCGGGTTGGTATCGGGGATCAGTTCGCACCACTTGCTGGGATCGTCATCCCCGTTAATGTTGCCGTTCATCATCACCACAGTCGTGTCCTGCGCATCCTCCGTTTCTGCCTCTAGTTCAGATTCCTTCTCCTGCTCGGCCTCGTCCTCGGCAATGGTTGTCTCGCTCATGCTCTTGCTCCTCTTACGCTTCCGACTCAACTTATCAGATTCAGCATTGCGCAGCGCCTCCAAGTGACCCTTAGTGGTCTCGTGGCGCTTGCGCAGATATACAAACTCCACGTTCATGCGCACATTGCAGACGCGACATCTCCCAATGCTACCGGTGGTATCGCAGCGTTCCAGCCAAGGATGCCAACGAAGCCAGCGTATCCAGTTGAAGTTGTTAAAGGCCTCCGTCTCGGATAATCGCTTTTGCTTCGTGGCAACTATATAGCTCTTGGTGCCAAACTCGTGCTTCACCTCATTGTCACTGGTTCTGGAAAAACAAGATTCTGATCAGTAAATGATTTTATTTTTCTGCAACGAGGAACCTGTTTATCCAAATTAACCAAGACTTGGCGAATTTAACAGAAAGTCCATAGAAATGAAGATAATAATAAGACTTTCATACTGCACTTTCTTTTTCTAAAATATTGGGACACGTGGAGTATTTAAATCTGGATTTGGGTAGGTATGTATGTATACTTCATTGCACTTACATTTCGAAATATGTTTGTAGCTCGAACTAAATATAATATATACATATATACAACTTCGAGTACGTCATTTACGGACGGTTTTTGTAATAAAATTTACATTTTTTGATACGAAGAAAAGGGGGTATTTACATGGATTTTAAAGTGCATAGCTTGTACTTTCGCTACATACATATGCAAATGCACATTAACAAGACTAGAAATTCGTCGGTTATCGCTTTTATATTAAAATTTACCATGGACTTGGGTAAATAGACTAGAAATGAGGTAGAATGGGAATGATTTCTGTTTCTTCTATTTAGAACATACAAGGGAATTAGATATGGTACAAAAAGAAGCCTTGTTTTATTAACAGAGATTTTATGCAGGGTTCCTTCCTGGGTCTTGTTAAATGTTTAAGGGCTGATACTCACGCTCCCCGAGTCTGTTCTTCGCTTCTCTTGAAGGCAAGGTAGTTGCACTCGCGTTCCTGGTGATACAGCGACATGTTGTGCTGCTGGATGTGCCTGGCTCGGTTGTTCACGTTTATGTTAAGGTTGCAATAGAGGCAGAAGGCGTAGGTGCCATCGGAGGCATCGTGTAGGATCCAGGGCCATCGCTTCATCCAGATGAGCCATCGTTGGGCGCGGGGCATCTTGCGGCGCATGTCACCATTAGCGCCAGTGCTGCTGTCGTCATCGTCATCGTCTGGGCTGTCTCCCCCATCGATCCTTTCCAACAGACCCATCGGATCATGGTACGAATTGCTGCTCTCAGCATCGCTTGAGGGTTCTGTTTTGGTAGACATGGTGTCCGGCTCTCGTTCCGGATCTCCAAGCAGCGGATCCTCGTTGGTTGGTTTGTCATCTGGATTATTGAGAGCTGACTGAAGTTCCACCACGAGTGGGGCATGGTCGTCGTCTAAGATATCCTCGATGGCTGTGTCATCTGGCAGAGGCTGCTCATCTTCCACGTCCATTGGCGTTTCAGTATCGTCGTCGTCGTCTACTAGGATGACCATGGGGACTTCCGTTTCCTCCACGGGAACTTCCTCCACCGTCGCTCCACCTTCGACATCCATTATTTTCAGCTCGTGCGTTGCCGACGCCAATGGTTCGGAATTCGCAGACGCCATTTTGAGACCGGCGTCGTTTGAACCTTCGAAATTTTTCTCCTGTATGCTATTTTCCTGTTCCATCGCTGGGTGCTCCAGATCGCTGGTTGTCCAGGCTGTTTGTTGATTTTCTTGCCCGCCGTTGGCAATCACAGCATACGAAAAATAAACTTAAGTAAATAACGAAAATTGCAAGCAATAACTCGGATTTGCAGTCAAGACTGACCAGTATGACCGTATTGTTGCATTAAACCGGCGCGTTACGGATCATATTTAGTATATGGTGCAGAAAGAAAATACCAAACGACATAAATGACGTGGCTGGACTGGCCGCATCAGGGAATAAATAATAGACAGATTTTAATATTAATGATAAAGCTAATCCTAAGCTATAATCGGCATGTCATTAAAAGTGGTTACAAATTTTGAAACAAAATAACAAACCTTTCTTAATTTCCATAATTTACATTTAAAAATATATATACAAATATAATATAACATATTAAATGGTTTCCTTTTGTAAAAAATATGAGAATGACAACTCTGAATGCAAACGGAGAATATTCTTTTTGTGGTATTCGTGGAGCCAGTGCAGAACGGTCATACAACACTTAATTTTGTTTATAACTTGGAAAATGGCTGAGCAAATGTCAAACCTTAAGTTAACTCAAGAAAAACTGTGAGTAAATCGAAGAACCAGATCAGGGACTATTTTCAATTGACTATATTCCATCTCAGAGATGCCCTACGCTCGGAGTACAGGCCACGTCGCCCGTGCGCCCTGCTGAAATATCCGCGACCTAAGACTAAGCCGGAATATCAGGCGATATATCCATGGTTGCTCCCAGATGAAACCGATCCGCACTTTGTATTCTGTGCGGTGTGTGAGTGTAGACTCAGCTGCAAGAGATCGGATCTGGGAAAGCACGAGGGCAGCATTAAGCATTCAGAAAATGCCCAAAGAAAATCATTGCCAGCCAAGGCAAATCAAACAGAAGCAGAGAGTTCCGCCTCCAGCGCTATAAAGTGGGACTACAACGAGGACGAGGAGGGTATGCTACCTTACGGAACAGATAATCCAGACGATGAGACTGAGGAGGAGGATGGTGAGCTGGACGAAACTGAGGCGGATTGCGAAGAGGAGGATGATCAAGCCCAAGAACTAGAGGCCCAAAGCGATCTCGAAATGGAGCCAGCCGCCAAGATGCAGCGTCGCACCTCAGAGACCGATTCACAGCATTCCGGCATGCTGGACTACCTGCCACTCCATGTCACCATCAACGAATTGCCATCGAGTGCTCCATCTAATCTTACCTCAATCTATCCTACTTCTTCTACACCAGTAACTCCAGCACCACCCTGCAGGATCACTATTAAGAAAGTGCCTCCGCCTAGCACTCCTCCCAGTGGTGTTTATCAGGCCCAGGAAATCAGTTCCAAGGCAACTATAACCCCAATACACACCACGTCCTCCTTTGCCTCCCGTCAGCTGCATTTCTATCAGCAGCAGCAGGTGTCTCCTGTTACTCCACCGCGCGATCCCTTGGAGCTCTTCTTTGACAGCATTTGCGCTAGCGTCAAGGGTCTGCCGCCCAAATTGGCCACCGAGGGCAAGATTCGCGTGATGCAACTCATCGGGGAGCTAGAGCTGCGTGCCCTGGAAGAATCTTCTCACTCCGTCTTACTTCAAGATCTCGATCTCTCCGGCAGCTCCACAACTGTGTCAACCGAAGCGCCTGGCAGTGGTCAGCAGAATGCAACAGTGGCTTCCACCACCAAATAAACCGGGAAGTGGTTCCTTCTAAGCTCAAGCTGGCAAATTAGAATATCAAGTGTTTTAATTTTTAATTTTGTTAAATGATTTTAATTAATAAAGCTTTTTATTAGTTATTGTAGTTCTTTAATTTAAAGTCATAATAGCAAAATGTTAAAAACTAAACGGATATTTAAATTATTTTTTTAATTTATGTTATTATGTTATTCCTTAAATTATAATTAGATCTAATTCTTGTGTGGATCATACAAAAAAGGACCTTTTTGCTTTACTTTAAAGAAATATAAAAGATATATGTTTACTTGAGTTAATTATTTATTTTTAAGTAATTTAAGTCGTATTTAAGCGGGCCTATTAAAATATTTGTAGTGTTGCTTAAATATCTGACTGTAGTTTTAGTGACAGAAACTATAAAAATTCTTTTGCTATAAGTGTTGATAAATGCTTTTAATTAGAGGATGATTTGATTTCGATTAATCAATGGAAACCATTTCTTGATTGATGGCGGCAGTAGTTTTAAGACAAAGTGGTCTACTTTTAAAATAAATCATTTAAATTGTTTTTGCATTATTACGAACCCTGATAAGGTGATAAAATGTAACCTTTGCATTTAAAAAAGTAAGATAACATCGTTAACTCATAATAACTTAATGTATTGTTTGTAAAAATAATGACACATTTTAAATGTTCTGGAAATTTTCTATGTGTACAAAGAACCCATATTCTTATCTGATGATCAATCATCATCTTGTAAATAAATGAAAAATAAAAAAGTAAGGTTTTATAAATATTATTCAATAAATCTTTATTTGTAAAAATGTAAAAATGATCGAAAACAAGAGTTATCAATAAGGCACTTAGTTTCTTAATTAGAGGGAAACAACCCTACTAGAAGGCCGCCTTGCCCTCCAGCATGGCTTTTCCGCAGTAGAAGGGAAACTGCACTCCCTGGAGCAGAATGTCCGATATGCCCTGTGAATAGTAACGAAACGAATCGGTTAACTATGTTTTTTTTTATGAGGGAATGGGAGTGGGTTGGCCTGAAATCGGGGCTAGATATCGGTGTTGCCCATAAGCCCCGGTTGTGGTAGTGATAAGTCCCCGAAATGACTAATTGGTTAGAAATCTGAACGGCACGATAAGGAAAGTGCTTCATGCAACTAACTGGTAAGGAAATTGACTCACCCCCATATATAAACTACACCCATATACGTAACCACTTACCGTAAGGGCGGGAATGCAGGAGGCAAAGGCGTAGACCCAAATGTAGAAAAACGCGCTGAAGAATGCCACGAAGAAAGAGACGAACCAGAAGACCAGCAGCCAAAAGATGAACCACAGTGGATTAGCCATCGTGATGAGTGTTTTGGATTGTTCAGTAAGATTCCAGCTGTGCGATAAGATAAATACAACGAATCTTATATAGTGGGTGGGAAAAATAAAAACACAACTCTTATCAGGCACCATCTTAATAAAGCAGATCCAATTAAAAGTTTAAGACTTCAGTCAGACCGCCCAACTGAAAAGGTCTTATTGTATATCATACATAACACGTACATATGTATATAAGAAAAACACATGTTCTTAATTAAAGTAATATGATAGGTTTTCTAAAATGTAGCATGTTAATATCAACTTTCCTGAATTTTACGATCATTATAAACCCAAAACAATTATAAAAGCTTTTAAAACGTCACTGCTTTTTTTAAATTAGTTTTAATATCACTCTATCAATGTCCCAAATTAAGATAGTGAATGTCAAGTTATTCAGGCAAGTAAATCCTTCAACAAACCGCATTTGTCTGTGAGTACTGAACAAATTTATAAATAGTTTTTTAGTCATATGGAATTTATAATTGTATTTAGTGAAGGTCTTAAAAGATGAGATAAAATGTCAAAAATATTTAAAAAAAAAACTTATTAAGAGTGCAAACATATTTAACTTTCTCTCAAAAATACTTTTTAACGTATTATTCAAATACGCATTCGTACAGGTTTTCCCCTATACAAAGTGCATTTGAATGGCTTTCTTCTGCATTTAGATTTCACTTTTGAGTCGTGACAAACCTGCAAACGACCGATTTTGATTTTTGAAACTGAATTTAGAAGCTCTGACGTCAAAACTGATTATGTCCAAAATATAAAGGCAGCTGGGGAAGTGTGAGGCCGAGACCTTGACCACGGATTTCGAGCCGAATTCCCTGATCAAGTGTCGTGCCGATTACAGTAGAACGATCAAAACAAATGTCGTCATTATGGAAATCGCATTGCTAGTTATTGCTTTACTTGATGGGTGTGTCGTCTTAAGTCATCCCCCGTCTTAAGTCATCATAAAAACAATTGCAGATCGCCGACAAACCGGTTGGCACAATTAACACTCAGCGAAATACGAATTAATTAGACCAATCCGAATCTCGAGTATGTGCCAAACAATAGATTTTGCGTTAAGCTACATATGCGTATGTACTATATAAATACGTTTATTACGCGCGCCCACGTAGGATCGAAAAAAAACTTAATAACAAAATGCCAGAGAGCCAGAGCAAACAATAACAAACCAAGTTGAAGATCGGTGCGGAGCGGAGATCGGAGGTCGACGTCCGGGGGATTCGAGAATGGAATGAAGACTGAGAATCGCAAACCGGCGCAACAAGTTGCATGGCCAACTGCAGGCAGGGCTGTCACCTGTCGCACTCCGATGCAGAGTTCCGAACGAAAGCTTGACCAAAAAGCTTTTGGTAGCGAGGTGCGATTGTAAAGTTTATAAGTATTTTAATATTATAAAAAACAAATGGTAAATGATCAATAATAGTTCCTATAAATAAATAAATAATAAGCTCAATAAATAAATAAATGAAGATCCCAAAAATACATTTTCAATTTTAATAATATTTGTACCATTTTTGATCTAGTTTTAAATAAAACATTGTTTTTTAATCGCGAAAAAATAGAATAACTTTTTGACCATTACTTGCAATAATTTTTTCTGATTTTAGCCTACAAATTGGCCTTATCAAGGCACCCAGCTGAAAGAATTACTTTTTTATACAGCTAACAACGAAAACTAAGGATTCACGTCAACTGATTTTCAAAAATAAATATTGGACCCATTTTTTCATTTTTTATAAGGGGTACCGTCATTAGATTTCGGGAATAATTGACAAACATAACATCTTATGTTTTTTAATGTCAATCAAATATTAATAAAATTACGAGCTCAAAGACGTATAACATTCATACTTTTACCATTTTTAGCCTTATTGTTTAAATGTATTTTTTAGAGCTATTTTACTTTAAGCACGCTTAGGTTTACGCCCATTTTTAAAAATGAACAAAAGTCCAAAATCAAATAAAAGTCGCTTAGATTGTGTGAAATTCTACACGGTGAATACCCTTATCAGTAGAATTTATCAGTCAAATGTTTGGCCATTCCGTTTATGCCTTTTAGTGCTTATCTTTTACCCATTGCTGCATTCCGTTTCCCGGCCAGCAAGGCAATCAATCGAAGCTAAGAATAAAAACTTAGCCAACCTCAGCTTCGTTTTTTGGAAAGCTCGTTGTGCCGCAAGAAGGATTTCCACCAGACCAGCCGAAAATCCTAAACTGTTATACACCCTCGTTACTAACAACAACAACGGTGTGCACACAGCTGAAGGCTAAAAGCTTTATGCGGCTGCTTGTCAATGTTTTCATATCAAATTTCCTATAATATGTAGCTACATCCCCACATCCCATTCTCCCCTCTCCTTACATATACAGGTGTGGGTGAGCGTGGCCAAAAAGTTTTTCATCCCGGACGCCGACGCCGCATTTTGCAGCTGTTGTTGTGGTCGGCTGCTGTTTTTCTCCGACTTTCTTCGCATTCTGCTGCGAGTCGTCGGTCACGCTGGTTCCGATTTTCTTCCGGTTAAGCTCGACAAATAATATGTAAAGAGAAAATACTATATACATGTATAACAAAAATTATAAAATTCCTTTAATACATTTAAAAACAAAAAATAACTACAACTTTTACGGCTGTAAATGTGTTCTTAAATCGTTGCTAAAATATATAGCATACTTTGCGGCTCAAAACAGCTGAATGTTATGTGTGTGTGAGAGAGACCAAATAAGAGAGAGATGGCTTTTGTGTGTGTGTGTGTTTAATACGGACTTAAAACGTGTGCGATCGATTTTCAGTTCTATCATAAAAACAAAGTAAAACATATATCTAAAATAATAAATAATAATAATAAATCTTGAATTTTAAAGCTTACTTGTATTAACAATTATAAGCAATTAGCAGCCTCTCAAATAAACAAACAAGCGGCTACTTGAGATAATGAATTTTCGTACGATTTGCTAAGGCAACAACAAATGCGGCAAAAGTTTCCGATTTGATTGCGAACAAAAACAAGCTAAAGCTTCAGGCCAAAAATAGAGAGAGAGAGAGATTTAGCGAGGGGGTATAACAGTTGCTTAAAAGCTGCCCAAGAAACAGCGAGAGAGAGAAAGCATAGTAACGGCAGATGACCAGCCGCATAGTCCCGCTATTTTGGTGAGAGAGAACGAAAAGCCTTGTCCGTTTTTCCGCGCTTATAGTATGTGTGTGCATATGTCTCAGAGTGTGTGAATGTGTGCGTGTTTCGAACAGTTTAAAGTACGCATTGCGATGCCATTTGGCTTCAGTTTAGCTAGAGACATCGTCGTGTTTTGAGCGGCTGACACATTTTCCGAGCCCAGCGGATCGAGCGGACTTCGCCACACAGTGCGCAAAATAAATCCAACCAAAAAAAAAACAAGAAAAACATCTTAAATAGGCAAGATAAAACGAAGACAAAGGCAGACAAGTCATTTTCAAAAGGGAAACCCCTCTCTTTCTGTCTTTAAGCCAAGCTCACACATACACTGGCATATGCATATGGCATAATATAGCCAACAAGAAAGGATATTCATTAGCCATCTATTTGTGTGTGATAAAGTGAAGTTTTTGGTGCAAAATAAGGAACAAGTATTCAATGCCAGCAGTTCCCCAATTTATTTACAGTTTGGAAAAAATTGGTAAATCACAGTCGCAGAGTCGGAGAAGTTTTTCAATAACAAACGTAAACAGAGACATGTAGTGAGCGGCCGAGGGCAGCATTTCCATCGCACAAAAAGTAAGTCTTGAAATCTCAAACTAACTAACTCGGACTCTAAAAACTGTTAAGTGGTATAGTAATTAAAAGTACTCGGCTAAAGTATAGGAAGTAATATAATATAAATTAAAATTTAAAAAGGTTCTTTGTTTAAGGATCTTTACATCATCTGTGTATCGGCATGTTATTATAAATTATTATAATTAGCCCTTTTTTTTGTCAATATAATTTCAATAACATTTTACATTAATTATGCAAACAAAAAAAAAAAAAATAAAACCTCCCCTACAAAGTATTGTTTTGGCTGTGGAATTTCGTGTTCGATTTAACGATTTTTGATGAGCTCCGTGATCCGTAAAGTCTTCAGCACACACACACACTACGTTTACAAAGAAGTATGGAGAGAGATAGAGGGAGGAAAACAGGATAGCCCGTGAAATGGGAGAGAGTCTTACGAATTCATAATTTGTCTGTTTACATACGAGGACCTGGTCACTGGTATTGGTTTATCGAGTGGTGCTGCCTCAATGTCCGCCCGCTTGCCCCACCTCCCCTTTTTAGCCACCCACCAAAGACCCACCATTTCCCTGAACGAAAGCGAAATTATTTTTTTTTTTTTTTTTTTTTTTGTGGGGCACGTAGGCTCCATAACTTCCGCTCGGTCGGCTCACGCGCACACCTGTACCCACTCTCATACAGAAACTTATACACACTTTTTGGCAACTCACATCGAGGGGCGAGCACATTTAAAATTCTGATGAAAAGACACTTTTACTTTATTCTTTCACTCGACGCCACACGGAGAAAAAAGCATATGATTGTCATCTCCTTATGATGTAAATAGCTTTCAAATCTGTTAAATATGAAAATTTGAGATATTGTTAACATTTATAAGGGTATTCTAATAAGATAAGTTTAGTATAACTGACGCATATTCATAATAACAATACCATATTGTTAATACATACATACAGTTAAGTTTCTAGTTGGGCTTGTTACCATGAAATCACTTCAAATCTCTTTAATAGTTGTCGAAATAGGCATAACTATTTATTAAGTCTCATTTAACTAATTAAAAACTTGTATATTTTTGAATATTCTAGAATCTAGAATATAGAAGGTTAGGACTGTCACATTTCTTTTTTCAGTGCTTTGGGCATCGGGTTTTTTCTCATTTCTTTCGATTATTGTGTGCCCGAGTGCGTGAGCGCGCTTAATTCGTATGTGTGTGTAAATATTTTGCTTGATTCGGCATACTCCCGCATACCCTCCCAGTCGCCCACATGTCGCTTAATTCAACTGTCGATTTATCACACTTAACCCAAACAAACATACGCCGTGCACTATACACTATACACTATGTGCTGTGTACTATATAGCATCCACCATAATCCCCACATATAAAGCAGCATCATCATCATCATCATCCCATGATCATCGCGTCATCATCAACCGGCGGCTTATTAGGTACAAACGCTGATTAGTTGTCCAGATTCATACAGATTGCGTGCTGGGCTCAGTTTAGTTTCAGTCCTATTCCGTGTATTTGGTGTATATTTTTTTTACTGACTGGGGGACTATTTACATAGCACCACCAAAGATACATTTGTATCTATATATCCATGGGAGCAACTATCGCACAAATGCGACCAACTAGTTTGCTGGGCTTTGGATGTCTGATATGGTTATGGTTCCTTTTTTATGGGTCTGTGAACTGCATTCTTGATTGAGATTTATGTTGCATACATGCGCTTTTATTACACAATTATTTTATATTTCGTTACATTTGTTTTTTGTTCACAATCTACACGAATGTTGGTTCGTTTCAGATTGCAAATTTAATAAAATCCCAGATTTTGTATGCTACATTTTTGTACACATCGTAAGCAAGTTATAAATATATTTTTGTCTCTTTTTATTTCGTTTTTGTGGCTCTTTTAATAGGATTAATACTAAAAGTCTTTTATCGCGTTTTATTTTATTTTTGTTTCTTAACCGGAAATAATCTTTAAAAACAGACTGAAAATTCAAACAATATTTATAGTTTGATACTAAAAACATATTGCTTAATTCATTGAGCCTTAAATTTTTGTTCAGATTATATGGAATACATACAAAGCAATCAATAAATGTCATTTAATTTATAATTAAGAGAAACAAAGAATGAATTATTATAAACGTTGGTCAATAAATGTTTTTCCGTGATGTGATTAATTCCGGGCAAACATTGCACTTTCCCATTGCTTGACAATTCAAAAACGCATTTAAATGCCATTAATTCAATTTGTCATTTTGTTTGCCTTCAGATATTATATATAATTGGATACCGCTGCAGCGGACTTCCGTTTATCAGTGGTTTAACCATTATCCAACCGAATCCATCAATTCGACGCACAATGCACCCCATAAACTGGTCATGCCATCCCAATTGTCCCATCTCTTTTTCTCCTCTATGCCGAGGAAAAGTGCAATTTCCCTGTGCCAAGTACTGAAAATCTGCATTGTGGAGTTTAAGTTAATTGAATCAGTTGCAAAAAAATGATTAAATCACAAAGGAAACCGCCGGGCGTGGGAACTCCAGCTGAATTCTTTGTGTTTTGTGTCGAAATTGTATGTTCAGAGAGGGCTTTGCCAAACATAAAGGCCGAGCACAAAACACCAAACACACAGCAAACAGCACTCACTCAAACCCACACACACACAAAAATAAACAAGCAAACAAGGCAAAGGCGCAAGGCTTAAAGCGTGAAACACTTGAGAATTGTTTTACACTTTTCCGTTTGCGTTTGGGTTTTACACTCCCTCTTCTACATATATTTTTGTTATATATTTTTTGTGTATTTTTCATATATATTTTTTCCCGAAAGCTGAAAGCCAAATGGCAGGCCAAGCAAGGAATTGAAGTTTCAGTTTTCCTGCAGTCCGTGGGGAGTGCATCGCTTTTCCACATTTCTCCTTCTGCATTTTCATTTCACGGAGAATCGACAAACTCATAAAAGTCTTGGATTCGTGTACCAAAGCGGGTAACACGCGAAAATATGCAAATAAAATTCCATAAAACAATGCGAAGGACAAACAAACAGGCAAGCATAAAAAGCCAGCAATAAAATTGAAACAAAGGGGACAGTTTTATACCCTCGGCTAATATGAATATTGAATGTCGCGCTCAGAGAAGCCGACGACCAAAAAATAAGGAACAACTTTCTCATTCGAAGTTTCTTCGTTCAAAGAAAGTCCTATTTATTCGGGATTCCGAAGGCTGAAAAGTTATCAAAGTCCAATGTTGATTTTACTAATAAAATAGTATTTTGGGTTTTCCGGTATATAACATATGGTATCGTAATTATTTGATTTATATTAATTAATAGAAAGTACAAATATTTGTTAATGAATTAGAAAAAAATTTCATCTCATTTTGATTTATAAATAACTTTGCTTTTAAAAAGAAAATAAATCAAAACTTTAATAATTTTGACAAACAAATTGAAGCCTTGTGGTTTTGTCATATCCAACTTCTATATTTTCCAAACTCAGGTATATCAAAGCTGTTCATATCCTCTACATCACATTTGTATTCCATGGATGGGTATGCCTGGCTTCGTATGAAGACAAGAAGCACTTGGAAGTGGTCGTTGTTCGGCCGTTGTAGGAGCATTAAAACGCAATTTTATTGCATATCCTCGGGGGCTTTGGGCCAGCCATCATTGTCTTAAGGGTCCGGCAATGACGATGGGCGATGACAGAACCAGCTACCGAATTGAACCCAACCAAAACCAAAACCCAACTGAAACTCACGCAACTCAAACGGGAAAAAAAAGAGGAGAAAAAACAGACAAGACCCCAGACGAAAGATACAAATACAGGGGAGGCAGCAGGGAATTGTTTAACATTAGTTTTATGCGATACTTTTATTTGTCTGTGCTTTAGCTACTTTTATGAGTTTTTCTTGCGGTCCTGGCTCCTGAGTGTTGCTTGGTGTTTCCCTCTTGGCCATTGCCCGGCGATAATAACGCGATTTGTTGTCTGCTGCAGTCTCATTAGATTTTATTGGTTTTACGAAGGAGAAACTGGTGCAGCAACATAGTTTACAATACTACTAGCAACAAAATGTGTATGCAGTTTGTAATCAGGCTATACTTAAATAAAAGACTCGTTAAAGAAGCTTTAAATTTATAATGTTTTTGGATTTTAGACCAGAACTTAATATTAAAACAAACTCACTTAAGTCTATAAATTTTCTAAGCTAACCTTTAAACCTCTCTACTTAAGAATTCATCATTCCTTAATCTATGTTCTAACATTATTAAAACAATATTTTTATTGACCAAAATGAAAGAAAGACTATCTGATTTATGTGATGCTTTCTGTCCGACTCTACTTAAAGTTTCATAACTATCTTTAAACTAATAATACGAATACGAAAACTATTTCCCGAGTAGTTTAAAAGCATTTTTATAACCCTTTTGCATAGTGAAATGCGCATCAGTGTATGGGAATATAAGCTCCCACTTTCTACGCCATTTTTACAGGCAGATAATCACTTATAAGAATACACACACACTAGCATACACACACGCTTTGAGACCGTGACGTGTACTGGGAATAAGCCGCTTGATGTGTGTCTGTGTTAGCCAGCATGTGTGTGTGTGTGTTAGCCCTGGTGCTCTGGGCATTAAAAGTAACCCAGGGTAAAATAAAAGCAAGTGCCAAGTGTGGCGCATGTGCCACTCAAAGGCAAACAAATGCGAAGTTGTGCTGTTTCTTTGGGAATACGCGGCGTATGCGCGATTTTAGTGTGATTGTATTCGCCTTTGCTTTGCCTGTAAATTGCTCGTCGAGGTTGTGTTACTGTTGTTATCGCCGGTGCCATCAACTTTTGCTTTGCTTTAACATGCACTGATTAAACTTAAAATGTGTTAGCGATTAGAAAAGTCGCTCCCTTCGATTTTGAATATGTGAAATAAATACTTTGGAGTAATGAAGGCGTCTTAAGGCGATAATATAAATAATTTTATATTATTTAAT